TCTGCTGATGGCGAAGATGCAGATTGTTTTCAAGCTGTCGAGCCAAATACTTCAACCCGATTCTTTTTTTTTTACGCTGACTTTTTCATGATTCACAAAATGAAAATGGTCAATTTGTTTAAAAAGATCGTATAATTACGAAGGCAGGGTGGAAGGGGAGGGCAGTGGCTTATTACCTTATTAAAATAGCGATGGCGTAGATGAGGTCCGCGCTCTAGGAAGCGAGAACCTAATCAACTAATAAACTAGGGTTAATTAACTTAAAGTAAATAAATATGATTACTTGAGGTTGCAAAGGACGTAGAAATAACCCCCATTTTAAACCACACCACGGCGACATTTAAGCGGGAAAGAGAACAATTTAGTCTTCAAATCTCTTTTTTTTCTTCCTCTTTTTCCCCCTTATGTTTGTCCGAAAGGTATCCAATCGATTGCAATTTACCACTCAGTCACCGAACGATTCTGCATCACCACGTTCTATCACCTTACGACTCACGTTCTATCACCATTGGTAGCACTACATCTGTGGATTGTATTTATTCAATCAAGCCTCGTCAACAAATCTGAGCGTTACGCCGGCACCTGCTCAGGCTATGTAACATGCCGTAACTAATGAACTAATGAAATCTTTCAGTTCAGGTTAGTTTTTATAGTGCTTGGAAAATTCCTTCTTGCGTAAACTTCGGCACATTGTGTGTAAGACTAATACGGTGACATGAATCGAAGGTCTCCACACCCTCTTCCCCGATTCTCCATAATGTCTTGTAGCAGTGGAAACTGCCACGCTCCGCGGCCGGAGGATAGGGGGAAACGGAAGAGGAAACTTGATGTACCCTTTTGTTTTTGATTTTTAGTGTGCGCGTGTTTTGTTTTGTTATTTTTGTTTTGGGCTTCGTTTCGTTTAAAAGCACAACAGTCATGACAGTGTTGTTAGTGTATCGCTAATAAGAAAAAGAAAAAGGACAAATGTTCGCACCACCCCTCACTCCTTACGGGGGATGGTACGTATTGGTATAAATAAGTCGCCAATACACCGTACACGAAAAAATTTAACACTTCTTTGGGGAAAAAAAGTGTTTGGAGGCGGGCGTACGTATCAACATGACACGATAGAACTGACCGTCACAGGTATATAACAGATCAAGCACAGAGTTGGTATTCATTGTGCGTGATATTATATAGAAATACCCATTTAATGTTAGTAGGCCCTATATATACGTGCTTTTTTTTCTTCAAAATTTCGAATTTCTTTTCCAAACGAAATTTAAAGGAATATAATGCCCTGTAACAAAAAAGGGCTTGTTTGTTTTTGCAAGCCTTTGTACAGTTTTAAAAATTGGTTTTAAATGGCGCGCTCTAGTTCAGAAATTGCGCACACTATTCAGAACGAATTAGGAGCGTCCCGCTCTAAAATTCAAAAGTTGAAATTATTAAATGATTACTTGTCATGGGCCGATTTTTTCGTGCGATGTCTCATTGAAAAGTTCATAACTAGTGTAATGCTAGAAAATTATCAGTATAATTTGAAAATCTATTTGTTCAAGGTGCCGCAACCAAAAAACACGTATAGGCCTACACCAACTTTAAAAGAACGGAGAAAACTTGTAAGGTATTTATATACTGTAGCCATTTCTTTGGCAAGGATGCAAATATCGAATATTTCACATTCGAACTCATCTGCAATTCATGAGCAGAGAGCAATAAATGTGTCTACTGTGCCGCGGCTTATCAAAAGAAATTCACCAAAAGCCGTAAAATACGCCAATTGTGGCAAAGAACATTGTCTGCATCAATCCTAGCTATTCTTGGCTTCCTTCGGCTCCTGTATTGTACAGTATGCCCCTGACTAAAATCAGCGCCCATGCCAGCGGATAGCGACGTACCTAGGTAACGAGTTACTGCTCAGTGTGCTCAGCACTATCATGTAAAAATAATGGTAATAGATGTGGCGAACTCGCTGCCGAGAAGCAGATAATCAAAACCAACGCGTGTGCATTTTTGTATCAATGGATTTGTACAAAAGATAGCAGAGCGGAGGTCGGGCTGATCAGAATATTTAACATTTGGTAATTTTGAACATTTGATCATTACCTGAAACTGCTTTACATCCTTAATTCGATGTTCTTGTCTTGTTTTTTTCTGTATGTTATTTTTATTATTATTGTTATTATTATCTTTTATTTTACCAGGAATACCCATTCACATTAACTTGTGGTCTTCCATGGGGTCCTAGGAAATATATAATTAAAATTATATAAAACATAAATAGAAGTTCTGAGATACTATAAAATAAAATATACATCAAACAAAATAATGAAACAATAAAACACAAGCATAGAAATGATAAAGCAATAGTATACATAGTTAATAAATAAAACCAAATCAAAAGTTCAGAAAATCTAGAAAAATAAAATAAAGGTTACGAAGTTGAATAGTTAAAATGACACTTATATGAATAAATTATACAGATCAAAGTGGGTGGGTGTATACAAGTAAAAATTAAAACAGCGAAAAATTAAATAACTAAGAACCAGAAGCTAAAAGATTCGTTATAAGAAGTGATTTAAAATGAGATAAGGATGTCGCCAGGCGAATTTCAGTACTCAAGGTGTTCCATATACTGGTACAATTGATAACTGGACTATGTTTGTAGCACTCCGTTTTGTATGTGAGTCGGGCATACTATCATATCATAAATCGACTCGACAATACTTACCTTTGGCTAATATTTGTGTACCAACTTTAATTTAACAATAAAATAAAAAGTTGTATATCATTATTATAACAGCTGGTCATTTTAGGTTTTTTTTCTTTGTTATGTTTTGTCCGTGCATGCTCTGCGTTCTACATCAGGGCAAGCCTTGATACAGTATCGAGTTGAGGAACAGCTGCAGACAATATGGCTCCCATCAAATTAATAATGAACACGCACACGCAATCTGAAACATAAATTAGTAAACGACGTAGCATTTCTCTTATATAGGATCAGGAAAGCCTTTGATAAGCATTTGAGGAATGTGAAATGTGTTTTATTACCGCGCCCGTCGGTAATCAGAAGGTAAGAAAAACAGGTTGAAACCCCCCTTGCAAATAATTTTTTTCCAAATAACATCGTATGGATGGTTGTTGAGCGCCCTCTTCGAGACTGTTATTTTATGCAGGTAAATAATGCCATGAATTATGATTTGCTGTCAAGCTCTCCGATTTATCAGTTTTTCCAATTCTTTTTCCTTTTCAAATTTGCGGCTTTGGGGGATTTTTTTAAAGGGAAATAAAGTCCGAATATCATTTGGTTGGTTGAATTCATTTTTTGTTTTTTTGTTTAGTATATATTTTTTTCTCAAATTTTTAGGTAAGTAAAAGCCAAAACCTCATATCGTACACCCCAGTTGCTTATGTCATTTGGGGGAAAATCGCCCCATTGACCAAATCTCATTTTTCCTGCATTGCGCGATGATCAGGCCATCCATTATGCAGGCTCGCTGCATGCAGAGGCTGTTATTGAAGCTGTATTTACAACGAAATCCAAAATCTACACATTATACCATTCCTTAAAAAAAAAAGAACAACAAAACACTGGCCGCGCGCAGTTAGGGAATTAGTAAAATGTCTTTTAATTTTTATTCTATGGGTATTAAGGTAGACTAACATGTACAGAACCACCGAGAATTACAAATGGTTACTCTAAAAACGAAAGTTCAAAATTTAATATCCTCGCCAGGGCAGTGTGATTTTACTTTTTAGTATTTGTCAGCCAAATGCCTCCTGCGGGTCTGCGGGAGTCAAAATAACGCTGGACTATCATACACACATAGGTATAGAGTACATCATTTGCAGCTATCCAAAAAGTAACTGACCAGATTATTGCTAAAGATTATGGCACTAAACTCCCTGTGAAATTATTCCTTCCGGCACGCTTTCATTTTGAAGAAAACAATTTTAAAAAGGCCATTTCCAACGATGAGTCAATTGAGGATTTTTTTTTGACATTTCCGTTGGTAGTATCAACTGTTTCCACCTCTGATGGTTGTGAGCAAGGGCCTGGGTTGCGGCAAAGCTTTCCCTGGTCCATTCAGCAATGTTGTCTGTCCACTTTTTCCTCTGTCTGCCCCGTCTCCTCTTTCCCTGCACTGTTCCTTGGAGGATGGCCTACTTCTTTTATTTTTGACGTCTGCAACCCTCTGAAAACGGGCTTTAACATGTTGTTGCTTTGCGCACAAAAAGTTCTGCTCTGCGAGTAGACTGGTGCCTACATTATCAATGCTGATAGTAGGACGCTAACAGTCTAGCCTACGAGACTGATTAATATTGGTGTCAATCCGCTAATAATTCGAATTTTGTAAAGTAATTATTTCATAAGCAAACGTGGGTCCTTTTTTTCGTTCGATTTCTCGTTCAAAAGTGATAATCCTTGTATTGCTAGAAAATATCACTTCGGGTTTAAACGTGAACTACAGCGGACAAACTCGGAACATTTAAACACCTACCGTTGCAGTGTCTAATCGAACGGGAGTTGCAATATCTATACCAAGAGCTGATGTACATTCAACACCTGTTGTTTGGTGTTACACCGTGGCCGGCCCAGCTGAAGTCACTCATGCTTCCTGGTCACATCATTACACAATTACAAAGTTACATGCTAAACGAGTGCGAATGTTTATTTTGAATGGAAATGGAAATGGTTATTTGACAGAATAAGAGCTTGTCAATTGTAGGCTAAGTGTATATATGGCACCTGCCACCACTGGCCAAATTTTGCAGGAAGACATTACTACGTGATCACATTGATGTAGGCCTGTCCCGTGTCGCGGAAGGTCGAGCAGAGAGAAAGACAAGGACAAATTAAATTTCGGATTTATACAAAGACTTGAGAAAAAAACCACCAAAAAAAAAACAGACAGAGGTAATACCTTAACTAAATACAACTATTTCAGACAACGTCAGCTAAGTGACACTGTCTCAATCTGCAAATATTTGTTTTGATGTCATTTCAGGATTGCTCATTCCACGCTTGCCTGTAACAAAGCATGCATATGAAGGGTCGACATCCAGCTGCTAGTAAAACGCCGCCAGACATTAAGCCTAAGTGGTTCGAAGACGCCAAAAACACACACAAGCATCAGTCTAAGTACCTTGGAAAAATCATAAATATGAAGGAATCACTTGCCCGAGAGGAGCAACAGCGGCAGCAGCAGACGGGAGGGTTCATCAGCAAATTAAAACATGGTGGCAGCGGTGGGATGAGCGAGTCAGGCACAGCCACTGGTGCCTCGTTTTCGTACAACCAATTATCATCGACTAATCCGGGATTTCCAAACAGAGGAGCTAAGACAAAAACCCGCGAGATGGCTAAAGGTCGTTCTCCACAAGAGATGTACCCACTCGACGTCGTGCATGGAAAAGCGATGTTCGACAAGGGAAGCAATCCGACGCAGCGCGACAAGCAAGCCAGATGGTGGAGGTCAGGAAGCCTCGAGGAAAGGCACCTGATCAAGAGAAGCTCCAAGGATATGCCCAAGATTCTGCCACCGATGGCCACCATACCGTCAGTAGACAGACGGTCTGGATACTGCGAGAAGCTGAAGAATTACTCCGCGTCCTGCACAGGATCCAAAGTCACGAGAGAAGAGCCAGAGAGGGATAAGATGATTGACTTGAAGATGCCAGTCAAGAAATCAGCCAAGGCATTGAGTCACGTAAAAGCGGCTAACAAAACCACGGGGAAACTTTGCAAGTCGCGACCTTCGGATAGGCCACTGAGGAGATCACAATCTCTGGACTTTCGTTGTGAGCTGGCGCCTGTTCATCCACCAGCTACTATGGATACCGACGTGTCAAGTGAGATACGCCAACACGGTCGACAAAGAAGCAACACTGCTGACTACGCTTGTCATGCCAGCACTCATATGCCGACCAAACAAAACTCACTAAGCGAGTTGATGGATAAGATGGATGTGTTAGAGGGTGCAGTCGGAGGTACAACTGACGCAATGGAGTTCTCAGATGAGAGCTGCATGGCCGCAGGAACAAATGATGAGCCGATGTCGGATGACATGTCCAATTGTGTGCCCCTCCCTGACACCGATGGAGACGAGCAGCACATCACCAAGCAGTCTCGTGAAGAGAACATGAGGTCTTTGTTGGAAGTTTCAAACCACAGCCTCGGCCTCCTAGAACTACCGTCTTTGGATCATCAGGGTCTCCAGCGTAGGCACACCTTACCCGTAATCAACTTACGACCTCCGACACCCAGACTTGCAGACCGCGATGAGAAGACAGTAGACAACCAGATCGGGCGGGTTCTCCGGAAGGTCGTGTGCCAGTCAGTGCTGCGCAAGCGGGAACTCAGCAGGCTGTGTGAGGATATCGAGGAGTTCAATGAGATCAATACAGTATTAGCTGACCATCTAGAAAGGTAAATAAGGCACCAAGGGACTTGCGAATAGAAGGTACAGATGTTAAAACAGTTATGTGATACTTTGCAACAACGTTAAGTACAGGATGCAAAAAGTGAGAAATATCAAGAGTTAAATAGGCCTACTGTTAGGTAAAAAAAACGCTATAGGCGTAAGTTCTCGTTCACAAAATTTGAATATTTAATTGCTATCACAAAGTGAGTGCAACTTTACTGCCGTTCGAGTGGTACCTAGTTGAAATTCCTATAAATGTATTTATTACCTCTCATCGTAAACACGGTCGTTGTGTGTTGTCAACTGTCATCCGTAAGAAATGTGTTTCTATATAATAATCATTGATGACATTACCCTCGTCAACGCTTGTCAAACCGTCATTCCAGTAGGTCTGAATGATGCTATATAACCAACCCTCTGGCTTGAAAGCGTGCTTGGTGCGCATCAAGACTCATCATAGTCAGGACAGTGAATTCAATTTGAAAAAAAAAAACACCCGAAGACAGCTTAAGGACATTACTACTTCAATGCATATGTATCCAGTGAAGTCAATGACCGTTTACCAAGTGAGAATAAGCTTACTACGTACATGAATGTACCTTTTCACCATATTGATGAATGTTAGCTATCATTTTGAATACATGCATTTTCAGTGCATCCAAACAGAGGGATTGTGGATATCCAAGTGTTTTAATGTCAAAACTGTATAATAGGATGTCTTTATTTATAGGTTAAATTCACTAAGGCCAAAAAAAAAGTCTCCGGTTTTTGGTATATATGCGCGCGCGTCGCCGTAGCCATGCGCGTCAGCAAAATGAAAAAGTTTTTTTTTCAATGAAAGATGATGTCTCAAAACCGCCAAACTCACTGGTTGGACTGGAATCCTGCTGCTGCACAATTTTACCGTGTTTTTAGATTGGGTTATGGTCGAGAATAAGCTTTATGTGGCCTCTATGGACTCCCATATATTTGCACTAAGTTTAGTCGGGCACATTTGCAGTCATCAGCCGACATTTGAAGCAAAAAAATCAGGTAAAAAAAAAAAAGCCGCGTCGCCGCACCACTTTTTGGGCAAGCTCCATACCAGAAACAGGAGACATTTTTTTTGGCCTAAGGTAGCAAAAACTGTATTGCTTTTCCCTTAGCGTGGTGTTACATGAGTTCTTTAGTTCGAGCACCTACATATTACAGTCTGTTGTGAGCACATCTTTAGCGCAAAACAGCTCTGGGTCTGCTGCTATTCAGCATGCGTTCGTTTAGCTCATCCGGGTCGTCACGGGTCAGCCCCGTGCCGTTCGATTACGTCTGACGTCATTCTCGTGGCTCACCCGGGTCGGCCACCACAGACCCTGCTCGCTCGTGAGTAGAGCAGTCACTGGTGCAAATACGTCACACACTCAGCGTTGATCATCCCCAGAAGTGACGGACAAATATGGCGGCCAGACAGCGGAAATGTCACGTGGACCCAAAGTCAACTTTATTTGAAGTGTAAAGGTAATTAATTATATTGAAGTTCATTGCGTCTGTAGGCCTAAAGGCTATATTCCAGCCCAACTATTTTGAGTTATGCAATTGACTGAAAAGCAGAAAATCTCAAGCGAAGACCCAGCACTAAACGGGCGTTTTGTTAGTGGCTACGGCCACGGCTACGGACATCACGTGATGATCGTGATGGCCCGCGGTTTAGCATTCGATTAGCCCGACTGTCGTGGCTAACCCATCTGCCTTTACCCGAGTCGATCTGTGTGAGCTACTCGAACGCACCCTTTGTGATACAAACCATCATGCCTCAGTCGAAAATCCCTTGTCACCGTCTCCGTCCACATTGCTCGTATTGAAGAATTTATCTATGTGCTTCAAATATAGTTTGTTTATTGGATAACTAGTCGACCTGTAAAGATTGTCACAAAGAGCAACATAAGACTTAATGTAAAATAACAAATTAAAAACAAAACAAAATCAAATTTACTTATTTTTTGGAAATATTTATTGTACATGTAATATTAAATTTGACATGTCCACTGCTCTTGTATTATACACTTGTAATCTACTGACTAATATGAGTGCTATAGTGGTGAACTTTGTTATTTAAGGATGTCTATGTATTGTGGTTATGTATATGTTAGGACGTGAAGGCACGTACAATTTTATTATAGCCACTTACATAAATTGTATTTCCTATCAAGCACAGACGTTAAAGTGCATGTAGTAATTCATCTAATATAGTGTGACTTGATGGACTGGTGTACATCAGATCAATCAGGATACTCGTAATATAACTTTATTTTATGAGGGAAAAGTACACATAGTGGTAAATGTATTTTGTTACTTTAAATAGGTGCATTATAGTGCAGCCTTTCCATTCAAAAACGTTCACCATGTGTATGCCTTAATATATCATAATATTGTGGCTTGATAATATCTTTGTTGTTTGCAGCCAATGGGTGACTTTGGAACGTTTGGTGACAGCAATCATACCGGTCCTTTTCAATTTTACGTCATGTTTAAAGTTGGTATATACGTGCTTTTCCAAATTTCGGTTTTCTTTTCCGAACAAAATTTAAAGGAATGTAATGTCATGTAAACAAATACATTTGCTTGTTTGTTTTTGCAGGCCTTTATACAGTTTTGAAAAGTGGTTTTAAATGGCCTCTCCAGTTCAGAAATTTGCGCACACTATATTCAGAACGAATTAGGCGCGTGCCGCTCTTAATTCGAAAGTTGAAATCGAGTAATTGATTACTTGTCGCAGGCCGATTTTTTTTCGTGCAATGTCTCATTGGAAAACTCATAACTAAAGTAATAGAAAATTATCAATTCAAATTAAAATCTATTTTTCAAGGTGCACCCAAAAGCACGTACACACCAACTTTAAATGTGCGCAAGTTCAAAATAAATAGAAAGGAAAGCTGGTGTGTTTGCTGCCACCAAGCGTCTCAAAAGTCTCCCATTCAAACTTCGAATATTGTTTGCACGTGAGTATGAATATACAAACTACTCTAACATATGGAGGAGTCCAACCTTTGTGGAGTGTAACCTCAATTACTTTGCGCACACCTCCCCCCACCACCCCAACCGAATTTATTTTCCTATCTTGAATTTTGATGAGTGCACGTGTAGTAGTAGGAATACGTATTTCTACCCCATATTTTAATCCTCAATAAATTTATGTTGTAAATGCTTAAATTCATTGGCTACAGAACATTTCACGTCTGAAATCAGTTTCCCATTTATAAAACAAATCAAATACCAAGACCAGATGCTCGGCTTGCTCGAAGAACAAAAGCGTCGCGCTTAAGATAATCAATTTGTGAGGTCATCACAAATCAACACAATTTTTGGCAAAACTTTTCAACACAAATTCTGGGATTCTATATGCATGTGAATCGTAACTGGTGCAGAACCTCCCCTGCATTTGCGCCTGATCACTCCGATCCTGCATATAGTCCGAGTATCACCCGTTGTCCAACGGACTTATACCCTGCATCATGTCTGTATATAGTGTTTATTTCTCTTTTTCGTTAATTATCTACACGCACGAGAACAAAATCGACTTGACTTTCTAGTACACAACATAATTAAAGAAACGTAAGAAACAAATGATGAGACCTTGGCCATTTTTTTTTGGGGGGGGGGGTGTGATATACATCGTTTATCACTTTCATAGTAGAAAATGAAATTTGTATCTTTTCCACTCTTTCTACAAGAATTGCGCAGTACGACTTGTAAAATATCTGACTCCCATGACATTTCTTCATGTGAGAGCATAATGGTTGCAGGGGAAATTTTAATGGGAATTTTCCCCATCCGAGTCTCGCTGTTAGACCAGTGGGGCAGAAAAGCGAAGATTCACGGGATCAGAGAGTTTCCGACCTTGTCAATTTTATTCTGGAGGGAAATACGCATGCATTATAATTGGTGCATAAAAGCTCCTGACAGGATTTCTAATTGTTCCGCCTAAATGCAGATGACTCTGGCAAAGCACTGACCAATTACACACTGCCTGTACGAAGTCGGATGTCCCGTATTGAGAGTTACAACCTTGACGCTGTCTTCATGACTCGGTTTTGACTAGGTGAATGCGGATTGGTGTGCTGTCAGGCCGTGATTTATTGATGTTGTAGCAATTTGGGACGGAATCCAAACAACTGGCCTTGACATTTACGGCTCAAACCATCCATTAACGGCATGACAAATGGGGCAAAAGCAGGCAGCATTTTCAATTAAGGGAAGAGAGAACACAATAGAATAGCATCCAAAGAACTGGGCAGTTCCAGATTAAGTATTCAGGATTTTCATGCTGTATTCTCCCCATCCCCTCTGAACATGCCCGACTGCCTCGCTCACTGCGCTAAATAACATTCCTCGTGACCACAATTTGCCGGTGCCGCTACTACTCGATGTTTTAAGAGAAAGCATTTAACGAAAACAAATTAAAATACACTTACATGTTTTGTTCTGTATATTCCAGTGTGCTTTATTGCAATTAAACTCATTCCATTTGACCACAGCATTTAATTTCTATACATTTCTGTCTTTTCCGTTTACGTTTACCACCTTTCATAAGGATGAAAAAGCTGATTTATATTTTTTAAAATATGGTTGAATGCGATATTATTTAAAGCATATTTTGGAACAAACAGATTCCTAATGTTAGTTTGAACTTAAATTCATAAATACCTAAGACAGTTTACCCATTCCCATTGGTCGAGAGCCCGTCACGTGGCCAGTCTTAAACGGATGATAAAGACATGGGCCGTTTTCCAAACCCCGGCTTCGGCTCCATCTCTGGCTCCATTCACGCTGGTTGGCACTAGGATGAACCGGATACAAAGCCGAAACCGGGGTTTGGAAAACGGCTCTGGCTGGCTGGTCTACTTTCCCCGTGTCACATTAAATTTGGACTCCTATGAAATCCATTGCCTTTTACCTTTTTCTTGGTGAACGTTCACAATCCTCACGTATGCATGTGAGTCGGTATTCATAGTCCTAAATTCACAATGCACTCACCACAGCTGCATCTGCGCGTCATCGCGCAGAAGACGCGACGCGTGCGCCAATCTCCATAAAAGGAGTTATTTACGTCTTACTCGTGAGCTGGACAGTACATTATAGCTAGAGGGGTGTTTAAAAAAACATGAAGTAAAAGTGTTGAACAAAATCGTTGTAAATTTTTATTTTTGGACTTGTTTGGACTTTTGGACCGAAAAGTTTTTTTTTTTTTTTACCGAAAAGGAATGGGTAATTATCAGCATCCAGACTCCAACCAGTCTTAAACATAATGTTTAACACCTCCCAAGCACACATTTATTCCCTTAAAAAAACACTACAACTGTTGACTTCATGAAATTTACTTTGTCAGTTACATGTACACCATGAGGTATGCTATGTCTCCAAATGCATGAAGGTAAAGACTCAAGTATCATTAAGATTTGAAACTTTGCATGGTGGTGGTATTAGTGCAGGTTTTCCTTAACACCATGTAGAAATCCCTTTTTGGGAAGTTGTGTGGTTCTGAACAGCACCACACATCCTCAAAACATCATCATCTTAAGATCTTTAACCTGTAATGCATTTATGAATGAACTCAGTGCATGAGTACCCCCTCAATAGTTACAAAGCGGGAGATATGCAGATTCTTTGCTGAAGTGTCCCAGAAACCTACATGTCTACAATGACACTGTTGGTTTTCCCCTCATTCAAATGAAAATTGGTCATGTGTACATACACCTCACAAGTGCTATCTATGTAACAATGCACAAAATCTATGGTTTGCATGTGTTTCAATTGACGTTTCCTTGTGTTTTAAAGGGCCCATGAAATTATGTTTTTTAATGGAGCATATTTGTAGTAAATATCCATTCCTCTGAAATGTGTGAAAACTATGAGACATCCCCTTTTGGTAAAAAGTTTTGTAAAGTGCACTTTTTTAAACATTTAAGATGGTTCATGCTTTTCCTGGCAACTGAGGGCGCTGTTGCTGTGATGTCACTTTAGGAACACGCTCTTCAGATTCGGGTTTTTCTCTTGAAATTGTAAACCCAAACTTCTACTTATTGAAAATATCTGTGCATATTTGTAATAGGGAAATTTTCATTAGCATAAAAACAAAAATGCACCAAAATGCCCTTAAAATTGCAATATGGAGATTACCAATGAAACTAAATGGAACACAAAGGTACATTTAAGGATTGCATTGAAAAGATAATTCCATTTCATGGGCCCTTTAAAACTGTTGATGTTCAGACACCTTACAGCAAGCTTGCAAGCTTGCAACTTGTTCATGTCATCTCTGAGCATCTTGTTCCTCTTGGAGCTTGTTCTTAAGATGCTCATTGATGGTGGAGAAAGGGTTAGACTTGAAGGCAGAATGCTTCAGGACTTGCTTGAATCTTGTCGATTCCTCTAAGCTGTAAAACAAGGAACAGAAAAAAAGTCCAACAGATGCTGGTCTGATGACAAACCACAGTGATCATCTAGAGGAACATACCAAGAATGATGAAGTGGAGTAAACTGAGATGACTTGTATTGAAGTGTTCCAGCACTATTAAGACAGTACAGCAGAAGTATAGAAGAGTTCAAATTAATACAATCACTTATATAGTATGTCAGAGACCAGCTTATTCAGTATACCTACATATATAGCAATTGCACTTTGATGCTAAAAAGATTTGGGAATAGAATAATGTAATGTTCAACGTTAATTAACCGATTGTCACATGTAGAGAGGTGAAAAGTATTAACAACACAAGCATCAATAACTTATAAAATGTGAACAAACGAGACCCACAAATTATTACCTGGGATCTCTTAAAGAAGACAACAGTGAGGTTTCTGTGCACTGGTAAATGTATTGTATGGAGAAAGTACAGTGTTTGATGACCTGTGCAGTTAGTGGTTAATTTCATTTTCATCCGAGGTATATTTGTCTGTTCATTGTAAGGACAAAGTTCCTCAGTTTAGAAACATGATGTAAAATGCCCTAAAGTATCCTCCTTTTGGGCCATAAATACACATAGCAAATTAGTAGGTGTTGTCTACCGAATATTTTACTCTTTTGGTCTAATAAAATCTCAAACAGTGAACCAAACAACCAGCTGCTGTTTGCGGACATAAATACCAACCTTTCTTGCCATTATACCTCATGCAATATCCAACCGAGCAGCCCACATACAAATCAAGATTGGAATTTATGAAAAGAGAAGAACTTGTAAGCCTTTATATTTATCATATCAGCCACTAAAAAAAATTACAAGGATTAAATTTGTCTTTTAATAACCCTTGTCGTTATGTTAGTGACTGTTAGGTTGTTTTCTTTACGCACCGGTAGTGCAAATAAAGGAAAGCAGTGCGGGGCACTTACAGAAGCTGTTGTCTGTCTTTGACTTTCATGGTGCCTTTGTGTTCTTTCTTCTCCTGCGCCTTTCTGTGTGGACAGACATTACCAAACAAGACCTTGACAAAACAAAAAACTACAGCCCAACATTTAATTTCCTCTTTGATCAAAAATTCTTATTTTGACTGGTAGGCAGGCAGTGCACAAATAAAAGATCTTCTGTATCAAAGGAAATATATGAATGTAAACCTAGCAAAATCATTTTGGTTTAAGGCAGAAAAGCTGATGCTGTCAAAAACGTTTTGGTGAATAAAATTACAAAATTGAAAACGTATTGATGTAAACAGCTCTGTCTTGTTCAATTAATTCTTTGAGTATATGGCATTTTCACAGCAGCCTTGAATTTGTTTTTCAAAATATTTTCTTGTTTTCAAAAAGTAAATTAACTTCCTGTATGCGCGTCAGCAAAATGAAAAAGGTTTTTTTTCAATAAAAGATGATGTCTCAAAACCGCCAAACTCACTGGTTTGACTGGAATCCTGCTGCTGCACAATTCTAACGTGTTTTTAGATTGGGTTATGATCGAGAATAAGCTTTACGTGGCCTCTCTGGACTCCCATATATTTGCACTAAGTTTTGTCAGGCACCATTTGCAGTCATCAGCCGACATTTGAAGCAAAAAAAAACAGGTAAAAAAAAAAAAAAAGCCGCGTCGCCACACCACTTTTTGGGCAAGCTCCATACCAGAAACCGGAGACTTTTTTTTTTTGGCCTCATGAGTTCATAAACACTTTCTTTCTATAACTTAAAAGAATCCCTGTAAATTCAAAACTTCAAAATGTATGCCCTATAAGAAACTACACTTTGAAAATTGTGGTTGCACACACAATCATTCATCTCTATATAAAGTCCATTCACATTGTTACATATATATCTCCTAAGCAGCACTCAAAATCCTATGTCAAATGGAAAGGCAACTTGACTTGCAATATGGGTTGCATGGCCTGAGGTTGCAAGAATCACTCCTGCAATTTCTTTCTTTTACCCACTGTTATGTTTCCTTTTGAGCTTCCTTTAATTAAATTGTTGATATTTCAGGTTATTTGATACAATACTTTTGGGGAAAACAAAGAACCCACACACCTTCCATATTCCAAACTATTTCATTGATTGCTAGTCACAGTAAAACAACTAGTAGTTCATGCGTAGCATACCAGGATACATTCAAGGTGTGCTATGTGACATGGTGACATGAGAATGTGCTGCTGTTTGAGACAAACGCAAACCTGGAGAAAACTGATGTAGATTTCAAGTTCTGTCTAATTGACAGTGGGCTGCACAGAATAGTTCACAGATTGATTTGTACATAATACCAATAATTTAATATGAAGAACACAATGGCAAACCCCACTGGTAATAATAATTATGGGTATTTATAAAGCGCACATATCCACCAGTATTGGTGCTCAAGGCGCTTCATCATTATGACCCTGCTCATTGGGTCAATGAAACATTGCAAATACCACCTCAGCTCCCTGGGGAGTAAACAGCTGGATGCTGCCACTTTGGCGCAAAGCAGTTTAAATCAACCACAATAACCACAAAATAAATCTTGTGACTACTACCTTTTTGGACCCATCCCTTTATTTTCCTCTTACTTTGATTCTTGAGTCTTCCTGTGACTGAGTGCAATGATCTCAGAGAGCTCTGGCAAGGCCTGGTTCAGGGGATTCAAGTCACCAATGATCGGCCTCTCCGATCGCTTCTTGGCATTCTTCTTATTCCTCTTAGCCACTTGAATTGTTTCCATTTCTTGAGGATAAAAATGGGGAAAAACAATACTTCATTAAGACTCTTGAGAAGACAAACATGAGAAATTAATGGATAATTTATCAGTTTTATAAAACCCAAACCTGTCAAATACACACTATGGACTATGGTCAAGATAATCTAAAATTATGTGATATATGTGTAAAACTCAATGTTCTCTCAAGTTGGCCTAGTGAGGGCAGTATTCAAGTAAGTGGGCCTTCCTTAGTCACAGATGAAAGTGCATGATCCACTATGTTCAATGCACATCACAGGCTCTCAAGAATTTCTTTAAATTTACAATTAAAAAGTGATTCCACGTACACTGTAACTCCTTTTAGTGTAACACTTTTGTAACCTTTTGATGCACAGGAGAAAAGTCGCTAGATGTAGCTAATCATTTCCTTTCCCCAGTATATGAATAAAAAGGGGATAAGTCAAATGATGCTCCCTCCCCCCATCTTTTTGCATTAGCAGCGGCCAACTTGCCAGTTGACCCTAAAAATTTGGTTCTCAAAATGTCATTGGTGCTCCCCATTAAATTCTGATGCACCTCTGACCTCAAATGTCTCAAGTCATTTGAAGTCCCCCTACCCAAAGATTATTGTCATCAAGTTTGGTTGAGAGTGAAGTCTGACTTTTTATACAACACAGACACACAGAAGGAATACACTATCGCAAGATCCCCTTTCTTGTATGAAAAGCCAGGGGGATAAATATGCGCATGATCGATTTTCCTTGAAATCAGTTGAGTTTGTTTTTGACATGCCTTTATCTAAACATGAATAATTTCAAAACCCTTTGAAAATCAAACCAATACTTACTAGGGATAAACTAAGATTCCAAGCTTTAAAATAATCTAAAACTAATGGCGGTACGTGTTTCCACAGCGACGTCTCCAGCCTCGCAAAACAATGTTGTGGGTATTTTGGGACGCGCTGTAGTTGAGGTGTTAAACATCCTGAAACTAATTCCTTACTTTCCAACCACTTGTCATGTCTTAACTTCATCTTCTCTTTCTTGGTGATGTGCCCCCGTCCACCTTTGATGCTCTTCTTGGAGATGAAGCTTCTCCTATCATCCTCCTCATTATATGCTGAGGAATGCTGGGATTGACTCGGGTGTGTCGGTGGCGTGTCTTGACTGAAGAGCCCCTGGGTGGGGAACTCAGCACCAGGGGGTATCAGGGATGCCTAATTCATGACAAACATGTACCAAATTGTAATGCGCCTATCAATTGTTCCCCCCCCCCCAATTTTGCCCAATCTTAACAAACATTGCACGACATAATTATGTTAAATGAAATGTATAGCGGTTAAACGGGAAACAATTTATATAAAGAGGAAAGAAAATGTTCTATGCTTCTGTACTCGTATAACTACGATAATTTGAATCAAATTAAACCTGTTATTATTGCTTTTTTCTGCCCACTATGGGAAGTTTCGTAATAACGGAGGACTGGGAACTAGTCTGGGAATTCCTTTGTTTAGGCTAGACAAGTTACAAGTCCCTGTATGTATCATATGCATGCCACGAAAAAAACCCGATGTCCAGAAGCTGCCAAAATTGCTCTTTTGACTAGATAGAATCCAGCTCTGCGATGTAATGGTGGGGTGTGAACAATAAATTGGTGGCAATTTCAATGGGAAATAGCATTAGCACTATGGGATGTCGCAGTATTCATTCTCATTCTTCACATTCTTCATTCTTACGTCCCCCCCCCCCCCCCCCCCCCCCCCCCCCCCCCCCGCTTTTATTATCCCAAAAATCAGAATTCTTTCCACTAGTATTATTATGTCTCTTATTTTTTTCTGGTCCCCCCCCCCCCATATCAATATGCCTATACTTATCATATCCACTCTACTTTTCAGCGCCTTGCGTTGCAACAGTATAATTATTGAGAATCAGTGAACGAGGATGCAGCTAGACTTGCCAAGCGCAGCCGGTGCTCGGCATCGACAAGACCGTTATCTTGTCGCGCATTCTTAAGAATGTGCGCTCAATCTGGAAGAGTTATTTTTTGCGAAGATTGCGCAAGGATCCAGTTGCACATTCTTAAGAATGTGCATGCACATTTTTAAGAATGCGTGATTTTCAAGAATGGGCACAACATAACTATATGCTGGCTTAGGAACGAAAAAAAATACGAGACTGGTTAACACTACAGTTAGCAATACCGAGGCCACACTGGCTACTCCTAGAACTATGAGGCTCCGCGTGAGCAGAGCTGGCATGACTGGAGCTAGTTAACTGTAGTGTTAACCAGTTAACAATACAGAGGCCGCACTAGTGGAGTTATTACCGTAAGCCTAGTTCCACTAGTGCGGCCTCTGTATTGCTGCGGTAGAACTAGAATAGAAAACATTAGAAGGCACGGAACTAATTCTGGAAGTAGCTAGCTGCGCTAGCGCAGCAATACCAGGGCTGTTGTGCCCATTCTTGAAAATCACGCAATCTTTAGAATGTGCGCGCATTCTTAAGAATGAGCGCCCATTCTTAAGAACGAGCACGCATTCTTAAGAATGAGCGCTCATTCTTAAGATTGGGTGGGAATATCACGTGCACAATTTATGAATTTTGCCCAATCTTAACAAACATTGCACGACATAATTATGTTAAATGAAATGTATAGCGGTTAAAAGGGAAACAATTTATATAAAGAGGAAAGAAAATGTTCTATGCTTCTGTACTCGTATAACTACGATAATTTGAATCAAATTAAACCTGTTATTATTGCTTTATTCTGCCCACTATGGGAAGTTTTGTAATAACGGAGGACTGGGAACTAGTCTGGGAAGTGCTTTGTTTAGGCTAGACAAGTTACAAGTCCCTGTATGCATGGAGGAATGCATGCCACGAAAAAAAACGATGTCCAGAAGCTGCCAAAATTGCTCTTTTGACTAGATAGAATCCAGCTCTGCGACGTAATGGTGGGGTGTGAACAATAAATTGGTGGCAATTTAAATGGGAAATAGCATTAGCAGTGCACTATGGGATGTCGCAGAATTCATTCTCATTCTTCACATTCTTCATTCTTACGTCCCCCCCCCCCCCCCCCCCCGCTTTTATTATCCCAAAAATCAGAATTCTTTCCACTATTATTATGTCTCTTATTTTTTTCCCCGGTCCCCCCCCCCCCATATCAATACGCCTATACTTATCATATCCACTCTACTTTCAGCGCCTTGCGTTGCAACAGTATAATTATTGAGAATCAGTGAACGAGGATGCAGCTGGACTTGCCAAGCGCAGCCGGTGCTCGGCATCGACAAGACCGTTATCTTGTCGCGCATTCTTAAGAATGTGCGCTCAATCTGGAAGAGTTATTTTTTGCGAAGATTGGGCAAGGATCCAGTTGCACATTCTTAAGAATGTGCATGCACATTCTTAAGAATGCGTGATTTTCAAGAATGGGCACAACATAACTATATGCCGGCTTAGGAACGAAAAAAAATATGAGACTGGTTAACACTACAGTCAGACAGTTAGTAATACCGAGGCCACACTGGAGCTAGTTAACTGTAGTGTTAACCAGTTAACAATACAGAGGCCGCACTAGTGGAGTTATTACCGTAAGCCTAGTTCCACTAGTGCGGCCTCTGTATTGCTGCGCTAGAATTAGAATAGAAAACATTAGAAGGCACGGAACTAATTCTGGAAGTAGCTACGCGCGCAGCAATACCGGGGCCACACTAGCATGACTAGTGTCGGGGCTACCGTAAGCCTAGCCATTTACCTTTAAGTGTGACAAATCTGGACACGAGTCATCCTCTTTCTTCTCCCTTTTAAAATGTGCCGGGGTGTGTAGCTTTTGCCTCTTGGTTTTAATTTTGCCCATCTTTTTGGACAACGAAATTTTACCCAGAACGGACTTGAGTCGCTGAACACATGGCCAAATGGCTGAAATCATACAGGCCAATGACTGTTCTATGTTTAGAAGGCGGATTTACAAATTTCATTCCCAGAGTTTACTTCGTTTCAGACTCTGATAGCATGGAGCTATGCATACAACAGCCGTGGGATGATCCGTTAATGTCAAAGGTCAAGTCGTGCATCAGTCGGAAACAAAAATAATTAATGGTTGCCTTTATTGTAAATGTGATGTTGTGTGCTGAAAAATTGTTCTAAAATGAAGAGGAAACCAGCAAATAGATCACAAAAAGCATCAAGAAGTGCAGATAAAAGAAAAGGAACGCACTCCAATGATGAAAACGATCAACAACATGACCAGTTTATTGCAAAACCAAATTTTAGGAAAGGAGGTGCGTATTCCACCATGCCGGAGCAACCCGGAAGTACGCCGACTGATTGGAGGGTCGGCGTCGTCATGGCAATCTGTTTGCCAATTTCCATCCTCATTTTCTGGAAGATCACCTTGCCATTGATGTGGTGGATATTCACGTTGATTGTTGGCTCAGATTTCGCCAAGAAGTTGAGCTTCTTTAAAGAAGGTAATTATTAGACTAGTGCTTGATTCTATTTCTAGCCCCAGATCATCCCACTTGGCATTTTCATCATGAGGAAATTAGAATAGAGAGCTTGCAAGTAATAGTTGGAGAAGATGTTTAGAAACTTTGTACTGTCATTGTCAATGGCACTGCAATATTACAATATAATTATATCCATACTAGTGTGCATGTTGGGCGGTTTCGGTCAATGTGAGCCATCGGTCGATCATGAGTCATGACGCTATCGGTCGATCCTTCTGCCACCAGTCAAACTATATTTCTTTGTAATTCACAACTCTAATTTAAAAAGGTGAGTAAAGACCGGGATATCCTGCAGAATTGACCCATCGCGCAACGCAATTGACCGATCGTGCAGATCAACCGATCGCACCCAACATCATACATGGACGCTCTGTTGTCTGAGCAACTGCAAGCTATAGATGTAGTTTGCATTGGCTATCAAAATAAAAGAAATTGTGCTCCAATTGGCTGAAATTCGCACTGCACATCTTTCTCGGTCAGTCCTATTTTGTTGTATTGGTTGTTGAATTTCTCCTTTCATGTTAAGATCTCGTCAACATAGTGACATCAGAGTGTCCCATTTGGATATCAGCCCAAGAACGAGCATTTCTGAATGACCGGTCACATGACAACATCCTGAGAGTCAGTGATATATCCAGGGAGGACTTTGAAAAGATTGTCAGACGAGGGGAACCAGTGATTGTCACCGATGCTCTGAGAGGTCAGAATAACGAGATGGCCTGGTTATTACAAGTCAAGCTATTTTTAGAAACGCTACCACGACTACCAGTCAATGAATAAGACTATTCCACTTAAATAATAATCTCCAATTAAAAAAAACAAGCATCTGACTGCGGGATGACACATATCAACTGTGGAAGACTGTTAGGCCAAGTAGAAAATAAAACCAGTTTCTTGTCCTCGTTCGCTTCCTTTTTTTTCTATTTTGCAAATAAAAATTGTCAATATGTTTTTGAAACTATTTAACTATTTTTATTCGGTGTTACACACCAGTAGATCCAAGCAGTATAAAGTAATGATTAAACCAGATAGCATGAATAATATTTTAATGAATAACATCTTTTTCATTATAGGTTGAATTTTGTGTGGAATATCATATCGGAAAGCTAATAATTAATCTTATTGTAGAAAGAAAAATATAATGCTAAAAACGTAGCAGTTCAATTTAAAAATTTATTTTTTGGGGTGCCAAACCCCACACGCATGGATAGCTAACTTATTGTGCCACTTTTGTTTCCAAGACTGGGAAGCGTTTGGATTGTATGACTGTGGATACTTCATGAGGAAATTTCCAGAAGCTGAGTACTTTGATTGGCAGGTATGTGAAATTGTATTGATTGTTTATAAAAATATGCTGGGGAAAAGGAATATTTTCAATTAAATTTCTGTAGTAATTGGAATTTGGAAGCATGCAGTTGGACTCAAAATATTCTGCCCATTTATTATAGACTTTTGTTGGCTTGTGATCTTGGGGGCAGCTCTAGATTTTGGCTTCAACTTCAAGTCCAGCCAGTGGGAGTTCAGTGCATGTGTCCTTGGGCAAGACACTTTATCAGTATTGGGTACCTGTGAGGAAACAAATGCATAGTGAGCAATGCATAGTGGGGCTGATAATTATGAGCACCATGGAAGCAGACTGCATATTTTTTGGGTCTGCCGTACTTTGAGAATCATTCTTCTAGGATTTAAATGTCAGGACCTTGAACTTTTGAACTTTTTGCACCCCTTAAAACAATGGCTTCTTTGTATGTCAAGGGTCAAGAGAGGATCAGTCTCGGCAACATCACCAAGAGACAAGGCTTCACAGGATTGCAGTGTGCTAGCGGCTACATGGAGACCAAGTGGAAGTCCAACCAAAAATATATCAAGGTAGTAACAGTCCATAAAAGATTGATCCTTTAAACCCCACTCTGTAATATTTGAACCAATCACAACTGTTACTGTGGAGCCACATGTCTGTTTGAACCAATCACAACTGTTACTGTGGAGCCACATGTCTGACATTAAGTCTGACATGGATGATGTTCTGCATGATGATAGTGTTAGGAGGACAAATCCTGTATGGTCAATTGTCTCAAGGACGATTGATTTTCTCTTCTTTTTTTTTAAATGCTGCTTCTGGTCTTGTTTTTCTTCAGTCCCTTATCTGATTTTGTTGTTCCCTTTATATCCAGGAGTGGTTAAGGAAAATGCCCCCACCGTATTTCCTGATGGAAGATATGTACACCAGCCATCCCTTTGGCAAAGATGAGGAACCCTCTGTCACTGGTTTCCTTGGTGTACCGGGGACCGGTGTATCGCCACATCTTGATGAGATTTGTGACACCATAATGACAGTCCAGGTACAATAGAGAGCCAAGAGGTCAAGGTATCAGACTAGTATACTTGTTGAAATATCCGTGTTCCTCCATGCACTTCAAGCACTGTACCATGATTGCTACCCATTGTGGTAGGGCCAGGTTTATCTTGTAAATTTTCATGAACTTAATGTATGGTGTATTGATAGGAGAAGCTCCCCTTAGTAAAAAGTAAATCATTTTAGGTTGAAGTCTTTGTTTTGTAGTGGGTCTTCGTCTTTAGGTTTTTAGTTTTGGTTTCTGGTTTTTAGGCTTCAGTCTTTTTATCTTGGTCTTTGATTTTAGTTTTAAGAATTGGTTTTTGGTTTTGAGTGTTTTGATCTTTAGTATTTTTGGTTTAGTCTTGTTTCAGCTCTTGTAAATAAATTTATTTTTGTCCTTTTTTTTTCGAAATCCAGAATTTGTGTCTGTGTCTCTATTAATTCAATCTCTTCCCACTTTTTCTTTCAAGATCCTGAGTTTAGTTTAGTTGTATTAGTTTTAATGCGAGTTCCCCAAGTGTGTCGTTTTTCCAGGTTGCATTTGCAGACAGTGCATAGTATAATTCACATCTTTTAAGTTTGCATGAAAGAATGTATTGTGCGTATGAAATCCATTTAGAACTGATTTTGCCTTTGAAGGGTTTTGCCTCTCCGTATAACATCAGACAAATGCATTAAGGACATTTCTCAATACACTATTATATATTTGTTTACAGCTTTCAGGAGTCAAAAACTGGAGTGTCTCTTGGCCAGTAAAAGATGGTAGCGGAGTCAGGTGGAGTAAGCCCATAGTGTTCACTTTGTATCCAGGTAAACTCCTCCACATTTTCTCTTCCATAAAATCTCAATAGAGTTTCAACATTATTGAACAGTTGTTACTCGGCAGCATGCCCAACTGATTAAAAAGAAATTGAATGGTGAAACTTTGATGTGTTTATCCTGTGTATTTGAAGGAGAAGCAATGTTCTGGTATGTTGCCATGCGTCACCACACCGAAGTCATTGAGGACTGCTCACTGAGTTTCAGCTTTCTGCTCAAGTCACCCGCCCCCACTGACTACTTGCAGAGACTGGTGCAAGACCTGTCCTCAGTACCAAGAGCTGAACGCGATGCATTGTTCCAGGAAACAGAAGCAGCCAAAGTGGATTATATTGATTCCTGTGGAATCATCACAGACACAGGGAGGACATTTATAACATGAGGACTGGAGATATAAGATGGCACTTTTGTCCGGAGTTTGCAAACATTTCATTTTTAGATTGTTAAATAGCCTTATTCAGAGCTCTGAGTCACTGGAAATCTACACAATGTCTTAAATGTATGCTGAACATTGGCAGTTATTTTTTGCCTTGCCTTGCAGTGAATAATGCCAACATCGGACTGGCACAACATAATGTATACCAAGCAAGTAACAATTCACTGAGGGCTGACAACATTTTAATCTGAGGTCTGACTGCACATTGTATTTGAAGCAAAATTTACACTTAAAGACACGTTTGTGACTGGAATCAAGACCAGCACTCCAACAACTTTGTTAGGTTGATTTAAGAGGACCAAGATTTTATACCCGGAAATTCCTTCGTGCCATAATTACATGAAAACTGCCCATTTTATAAAGGTACAGTCCTGTGTAATTATAGGCCTACATTCTACTGTCTCTCCAACTGTTTTTTTTATGTCGGAAATGCATTTTACAGACAAAAATGGCACATTTCAGTGTTCAGACGAAAGTGCTTCTGTAAGGATCTATTTATGGTGGTGTTTCTTTAAACCCCTAACCCTGCTGAATCCAACAGGATCCAACTATATCATAAACCCGTCGGAGCCTGTTGGATTGAGCAGTAAACCCCTTGTTCTAATGTACATGCACATATTCAGAGTCGGTTTCTGTTGGGTACTGACAAATAATGCAAAGTTGGACTCTGTTGGATCCAGCAGACAACTTAAAAAAATTAGGCACAGTTGGATTCTGTTGGATTGAGCAGGAAGTAACCAGTGGACTTTGTTGGATTTAGCAGGGTAGTCCTGAGGAACCCAAAGGAAATTGGTTTTTTTTTTCACTTTATTTTTTTTTTAATCTTTCAAAGTTTCTGAACTGATTTTATTAATGGCAGGTGGATAGATAATGAGATTATCAATCATTTCGTCAAAGTTTCTTGCATTTTGATATATATTTTTACATTTTATAACTTTAAATAAGAAGAAAGAGAAAATGTTATTGAATATGATAAACGGGGAGACGAGAGATGGGGAGGAATATCCCCACACAGTTTTTGTAATGAACACATTAAAAAAAAGGAGCATGAAAGTGCTCGGTTAAAACGTATTAAAGGAAAACCTTACACCCAGGCTACTCATGCTACACTTGAATTGGAATTTCATTCAAAGTTATCTGCCGCTCTCCAGTTTCCTCTTCTTTTCAACTAAATTTCCAACGTCCGGAGACCCCCCCCCACCTCTCCCGGCCGACAGTTTTCAGATTTCTGTCATTTTGGAAGTTAATCCTTGGACATTGTTTACATTTCAAATTAGGTTTGTCCCTTCATTGTTTACATTTGAAAAGGCGATGTAGGCCGGCCTGTGAGAAATAGGACCATTTGCTTTTTATGCATTTTGTTGTTTCCAATAATTGCGCCACTCAAAAAATACAAAGAAGACTATTCAAACCCAACCTGTTGAAGGTTCAGCGCAGTGGATATTACACTTCGAGAAAACAGTGAAAAAGCATGCACAACCTTTCGATCACAAAAAAAAAACCGATTACGTCAACACTCTTCATCACCTACATTTCTTGATTCCTTCTAAATTGCAGCAAGCTATACTGACTTATTTTACAGGGAAGGTTACTTTTGGGATCATATTTTAATGATCCTAATGACTTTAAGGATATTGTCGTAGGCCCGTGTGCAACGGTGGATCATGGGGGGGGGGGCAACGGGGATCATGCCCCCCCCCCCAAAAAAAACCGATCCCACTTGTTTTGTTTTAAGAGACGCATGGGCGTCGCAAGGGGGGGGGGGCTTGCCAGAAAAGCCAAAAAAAAAAAAAAAGGAGGAAGAAAAAAAAAGAATAAACGAAAAGAAAAAGAGGCGCGAAGTCATAGCGGTGTAAAATTAATGGGTTGGGGGGGGGGGAATGTCGCTGCCCCCCTCTAAAACTGATAAATCTAGAAAATGTTGAGAAATACAGGATTTTGGGGGGCAAAAATATGTTTTGCCCCCTCTAGAAAAAAATCCTGGCGACGCCCATGAAGAGACGTCGCAAAAAGGGCAGCCACTGCGTACACCACCCACAAAACTCAACAACTGAAGAAATATAATAGTGCCTCCCCTCTTGCTCTGTATATTAAATTCGTTTTGGACGAATTCGTTTTCGTTTTATTAAAATGTTTTGGACCCACGTTTTGGGGAACAAAACATTTTTGCCCCATTGTTCTGGATCCGGCCTTGCCTGTGCGCTCACTGAACCTGCACGAGTATCCATAACTCGAAACTAGGCCCTATACCTTTTAAAGTTGTGCCTTCCGAACTTTCTTCGAAATAATCAACTTCTTATCTTTATTAGTGGCGATCCCAAGGGGGATTGGGAAGAGAGATGGGGGACATTGCCCCCCCCCCCCCAATAATTTTTGGGCGGGGAGCCAACTAACGACGATGCACCCCTCCCCCCAATATTTTTTACATGTGTACGGATTTTTACCAAATATACATCTTACATTGTATCTTTGCAAAATAACAACTCAAAGACATTTGTGGTCTACCACCCTCTTTTCGGGTAATTACCTCCGCCGAGGAGGTAGTCTTTTCATCGTTTGCTTGGTTTGTCTGTTAAAAATATAACTCAAAAAGTTATGGCGGGATTTGCATGAACATTTTTTGTAGGGGTGGTCCGTGGTACAAGTAGAAATCCATTAGATTTTGGAAGTGATCCGGATCTGGGTCTGGATCTAGGATTTTTCAAAGGATTCTGCACCATTTCTTTTGGGTGTACTGGCAAGCATGCTAGTCAACAGGTGGCGCCATCCAACACTCGCGGTCATCGCGCCTTGGTTGTTTCCTATCCGGGTATTTTCACGCGCCACCTATGGTTGCAGACCAGTAAATAAACTGTCATAGACCCCAATGATAAATGCCCCCACTTCAAAAATTCAGGAAAAAGACACAACTCTCCAAGTTATTCCAGACACACATCAAATTAAAGCTAATTTCATCATCTTTCTTTTTCTTTTTTCAATTTTCGGGGGGTTAACTGATGACTTTTAGGAGAAATTTCCATCCGAATCTGATCACCCCTTAAAATGGTCCTGAAGCCCATCGCCATTTTGAAAAACGACGCCTACACTCCATTGCAAAATATAGCGCTTTTAGGGCTCCAATTTCATCCAAATTGCACAGAACTACAAGCTCACAGTTGTGCGCACGGCTTCCACCCATATTTTTTTTTACAAACCCTAGCTCAAGCACAGCCCTAAATATGCTCAAATTGCGAAGAATTTGAGGGCATGCATATCGTGATTTGGCCGGCGTAGGCACAATGTGGTGGGAAATTGTTTAGCCATGGCACAGGTTTGCGATCTCGGAGTGCTTTCTAGTAACTAATTTTCTTACTTGCCTAGAAGGTCCCATGGTGCCGTTAGAAAAGCATTCGTAAAAAAGTATAACCACCCACCCCCCTTCCTCCCACCCCCCCCCCAAAAAAAAAGAAATATGAAACTAAGAGAGTATAGAATTTGCTTATGTTCGGGGTTTTTTTTCTTAAAACGTGTTATCCGATATGTTATCATTTTTGAAACTGTTGATCACATTTGGAAAGTTCTTTTGGAATTCTTGCAAATTCATTGTGCAAGTATTTCAAAATAACTTTCCACATTTCAAAACTGAACCACTATCACGTCTCTTCATGCTGAAGCCACATTATTTTAATCATAACAGCTTAGCCTACATAAAACCGATGATTAAAATGATTTGTTTTCCGGATCCAGATGTTTTGTCAAAATCTGAGTTCTTGGTATCTAATCTCCTGTATCCACATGCTTTCCAATACGAATTTGCAATAGGCCTATGGATCACCGGGAAAATGGTTTCAGTGCTATAAAGGTAAGAAAATCCATTAAGTTTAGAGAGGTGTAATGTTAACATTAAATGACAATTGTCAACTTTTGGTTATAATTGGCCTCCGTCAATATATAGTGAACGTTGGGCCTATTCCCATCTCAATTTTAAATTTACGTTGGGAGTCGAAATTATGGAAGCGTAATGCTGCCACATACGAAAAACGTCCCAAGGATCGTTATAACGACTGCTGGTTTCTTCTTGAATGCAGGATCTGCACTGATGAAGAACACCAGAACAGCCTGAAAAATAGGTGCTTCAAAATTGACTGATCGATGCTTCAATTTAAGATACTGCCCACCCAGACGTTTACCTATGTGATCTTGTATATTTGTGGTTTTTTTTTTCATTCGGATTAATCAGAACCGAATCAGAACTGATTCATTCACAATGCCATTTTAACCTAATCCCGTGTCGATGATTTCAGGGCAGTACTTTTTATTACCTTATAAATCTGCATCAATCTTGTTAAATCTTTATGGAAATAATCTGCTATTCTGAGGTTCTTTATTTTTCATCCCGCCATGTTGATCAGTAGGGGCCTATGACTTAACAGGAATTTACCCCAAAACCCGTTCAAGCATGTTCAGCGAAATACCGCGACTTCTGGTAATAGCTGTAGTTCTTAGTGGGCCTATTGGTCGGGAGCTTGGACTCTGCTTCATTGTCTGCAATCGGTACTTCGGGCTCAGGACCCTCGGTGGTGTCGACCTCAGGATTGTTGACCACAGAGACGTTATCAACCCTCTGCACACCGAACATCTTCTTGAGCCACGTGGGGGCATATCTCTCCCACCATGGCGGGCGCTCAGTCGGTGGAACATTGGGGATGTCATGATCACCGGCCGTCAAGTTCTTGCAGAGCTCTGGTACGTCGAAGACGGACATGTTCTTGATGCCTGGCTGCAGGTCGAAAAAGCGGGTGGTGTAGGCAATAGACACGGTGTCATTGGTAAACGTGAAGATGTCGAACACCGGCCAGCAACCTTTTTCAGTGAAACCACCGATCCACGACTCCCCTGATGACAAATCAGAAATAATACCTTGCATGAATATCTGGTTTTACAATTAGGCTCTAAAGTAAAATCGTCGTATGAACCAGCAGCAATGAGTGTTCACTCTTCCGACGACCAAAACTATGCATTGCATTTCATGTTGTCCTTCCTTGTAAACTGTATAGTGGTGATTACATGCATTTTTACGTTTTAGCTTTTCACCGAATGACATTAAAAATGTAAATAAGTCCAAGACTCGCCTAAAAAATAAAACCAAAGAGAGCGCCTTTCAGAAAAGTTTGAAGGCCTATAGAGCAAGAGTTGATCAAAACTATTTATTTCACCGACACCCAAATTCTCATCAAGAATTCCTGCATTAATCTGCAGGAAGTTTAAAACAAATCACAACATCAGCTCATGCAGAATTAGGTTTTGAAAGACCACTACTTGTCATTTACATTTTTGCAAGTGAATTTGCATCGAGTACAGAAATAATAATTTTCACTTTCGTCATGCAGGCTCCTTGAAAACCAAACCCGAAATGGATGGACATGCAAGGTGTAAAGAACACGAGACGATTACAGTTTGCTACGAAGTTAATTTTTGCAACTCTTCTTGGAGATTGCCGTTTCTCGTATGATATGACACGGCCTAATTAGTTTGATTGCAACTTACTATGTCTCGCAGGCTGACGATCCGACCATTCACTGACATCCAAGTTGCCCTCTGGTCCTCCTATCAGGTACTGGTCCTCAAACAGGGCAGAGGGCGGGATGCTGAAGTTTCTCCATGGTTCAGTGGGAATCTTGCTGCAACGGTTGTAGGTGAGGTCGATCTTGTACGTGATTTGCTCTTCGAAGAGTATCAGAAACTTGAACAGCCTGTCGAGAAAATACAATGATAGAATGGTTCGCAGGTATACTGTGAGGGGTTTGTATGTCGGTGACGTTATTCCCTCAACAAGATGAGATGGACGTATAGTATAGTTATCTCCGCCAGTCCGCAAAATAACTTGAAAATGTTTAGTTTATTTAAAAACTCGAGTCTTGACTGCATACTGTAGAAAGGGTAAGACCAATCTGGGCACGCTATCAGTTTTATCACGAAGGCCCGCTACACTGGCCAAGTATTTCGTTATGGCTTTTAATCAGATAGTCCTATATCCGTCACGCGGGATTATCTTCGTGTAAAGCGTGCACGATGGTTTCTTCATTGAAGGGGGCCTTGCGAGTGTACAGTGATCACGTAACCAGATTATATATAGGCCGTTGGATTTCAACCCCATGAACGTGAGGGTCCTACCCCATTGAAATAGCCATCAACTAAATTACCAACAGTACAAGAAAATACCTCCCCTCCACAAGAACACTATAAACCACACACACACATGTGTGCTTTACTATACTAATGAGGAACTGATCCTTTCCTTCTTTTGTTCCCTTTGGTTTGTACTTGAGCTTTTTCTCGACAGCTCCCATAAGATTTGTACACGAAATTCTCCCGAGGACTAGTGCCCAGGTCCTCGGGCCCATTGAAATCGCGCACATACACCCCATTGTCCCAAGTCCTCAGTCTGAATGGATAACCAGCCCATCCACACACTGGTTTGTTTCCGGTGCATATTGAGGACGACCAAGTGATCGGATGTCATTTTTTTTTAAAGTGAACTTTTGTTCCAACTGCTCTGATTTGATTCGAGGACCTATTGTCCTCGGTATCATTGTATGCCATTGTTGTGTTTCTTGTCGCTGTAAACTATAAACTTGCGCGAACACAAAACAACATGGAACTGGGAGGAAAGCAGCATTTACATCTCTTAGAGTAAAGAATAGCGAATATACAAATTTGGGATTATCTTATTCTGCGATACTAAAACATCTGTTAGCTTGACTCCCAAATTTGGCCAATCCAAACCGTACAAAGCAAGCGTACAAAAAGTGAAAGCTTGCGGAACATCTAGGTCGGCAACAGGCGCGTAGGCAGGTTTGGTTGCCCGTTGCGAAAAATAGAATTGTCGTCCTTTTTAACCTATATTGCAACGTCCCAATTTTGCTTCTAGCAACGTCCCGAGTTTGCTTTTAAAGTCTCCATCCTGTTGCAATCTGCCACTGCCCCCCCCCCCCCCCCCCCCCCGGCTACGCCACTGGTCGGCAAGCAGCTAGGTCAATATGCAAACAAAATTTGCAAGCCAAGCAATTAAAGTACATTGTACAGGTATGAAGTTGTAGCCCAATACCAGTTTTGAAAGCATGCATGCATTGCATAATTCTTTTTGAGAAACAGTCATCGCATAACACATCATGAAATCAGCTCGTAGAACATATATAGTAGAGCAAGTTATTACCTCCGCCAAGTAGGTTACGTTTCATCGGTTTGGTTTTGATTTGGTTAGTTTGTTGGTTGGTGGGTTTGTCTGATAACACGACAGCTCAAAAAGTTACGTACGGATCATTGCACCGATTAAACTATGTTTTTAGGAGTGGTCAACTCCTTGGTTCAAGTACAAATCGATTAGACTTTGGAAGTGATCCGGATCTTGGTCTGGATACAGGATTTTATGAAGGATTCTTCACCATTTATGATGCGAATATTTCTGACAATATGGCGGGGAATTGTGAAGCCTTGGCAGACGTTTGCGCTCTCTGAGTGCTTTCTAGTTTTATAAGTAAATGAAGGCCGTTTTCCAAATTTTCAGCTTCTTTCCTATCCTAATGAGATCCAGTTCACTGACATGATGTTAATGGTATGAACTGCCTTACCTCCTTCCAGGTCTCATGGATTTCTGCTCTTCCTCAATCCATTTGCGCTTTTTGAATCCGTCAAAGCTGATAGTGTAGCGGTTGTTAGTGGCTGCATTGTGGTTCCATTCGCTGAAACGACCCTCCCACTGCATTGGTGTTTTGCACGGGGTAGATGGAGGTGGAGGCCCTCTCAGTAATGCCCTCACGACGCTTGGTGATGCGCCTGGGGATGGGACAGTGTAAGCACTTTGCGAGTAACTCAGGACCAGGAGTATTAAAATCAAAGCCCCCTTCATAATGAATGCGAAACGAAACGACTGCAGCCTGTAGCTTGATATAACCTACACTGACTGAAGGCTCAGCAACAATGCTACACGACAGAAGTGATATCAACTTTTAATATGCAATGTTTGTCTAGCCTGGACCGATCGCACTGAGACACCATGCACCATCAGGTAACACAACTGTAAACCTAGAACAAAGCTATCACAAATCAGGGTTTTGCAACACTTCGAGGTTATCGTGAACAATAGATGTGGCGGACACTAAGACCCAGGGACCATGAAAATAATTTCACAGTAAATAAACACCGGACAATGGAGGTTAAACTAACAGACAAAATGTCAGTCATCCCACAGGTTCAAGGATTAGGTGGTGTGACAATTTGTTGTGACTTATGATAGCCGCACAGAACAATCGACGGAAAAGATGACGTTTGGATCTGGAACTCAACAGGGCCATTGCCAGCCTGGGCCCAATTTCTTAGCGCTGCTTAACAGCCGACTTTGTGCTTACCGAGCCTCCATCTATTTCATAGAGACCGTGAGCAGAAAGCACAGCAAAAGCACGCCTGACCCAGAGGAAAAAGTTGCTTTGGCAAATAGAAATCTCCATGCGCGCGCAACCGTTAGCACGTCCAGTGGAAGGGGAGGAACGGGAGGTCGTTTTTACCATAGAGTGGACCTTTTTCATGTCTAGTAAACAGTTGATTACGCATGTAAATACACATTTTGAGTAAAACTCAATCGCGAAGAAAAAGTGGACATGCGGCCGATTTGGGCAAAATGATGTAAGCCTACAATAAACAAGGAAATTTTGTGATCTTTAAAGGCGTGCACGATACTTTTTTTTGTTCCAGTTCTTCAATTGGAACAAAACAAGAAGTGGAGTTTTTTTTTCAGAGCAGGCACTCAATGTGAGGAGGTATGTTTATAATATATACGGCCTTATGGGGTACCGGGAACAAAGGGCAACAATAGGGACAGTGGTACCCTACAAGTCGGTCTTTAGAAATCTCAGTACCCCATAGGTAAAACGCTGTGGAGTTTGAGATTTCAACAAGAACAAAGGAGAATAAAAGAAGGGAAGTCAAGTGGACAATAGTGGTACCCAATAATTACATAAAAACACGGTTGTGTGAGCGTGTTATGGTTAGCCTATATCCGTCCCTGCTACCCATCTCAAATGATCAGTTTCGGGAGCATTTGTTTTTCTTGACAAATTGTTTTCAGAGCCGCATGCATAATTCTCATTATAGGAGGCCCTCAACATCCAAACTTGCACAAACTTGATGACACCGCAATAACACACAACACGAATTACAAGCAGTTTTTAAATGTGAAGTCATATGTGAGGATAGGAGTCTATTTTCATAACCTGGAATCCCTTAACACAGAGTAACATTTGCCACACTGATCTTAAAGAACACTTCCGACCCATGAAACGTGATAGCTTCCAGCTGATTTCTCACGGACCTCATGCGTATAGCGGCCATCTTAGAGGGCATGTTTTGTTGTATTATTTCAGAAACCATGAACACACAAGCGGTTTACTCATGCATATTCAAGCAAAACAAAGACATTGCCTCCATAAGATGGCTGCTACGCATAAGGTATATTATTGTCACTAGTGCTAAAAATGCATATGCGGCGCTTGGGTTGCAGACCAGTAAATAGACTGCCATAGGCCTCATTTATAATTGCGCGCACTTCCCAAAATTATTAAAGATACATGTACTCACAACTCTCCAAGGTGTTTGAAACACACATCAAATTAAAGCTTATTTCATCATCTTTCACTGTCCGTTCAATTTTTTTTTGAGGGGGGGGGGGGGGGTTAACCCATGACTTTTGGCAAAAAAATCCATCTAAGGCAAAAAAAAAAAGTCTCCGGTTTCTGGTATGGAGCTTGCCCAAAAAGTGGTGCGGCGACGCGGCTTTTTTTTTTTTACTTGATTTTTTTTGCTTGAAATGTCGGCTGATGACTGCAAATGGTGCCCGACTAAACTTAGTGCAAATATATGGGAGTCCAGAGAGGCCACATAAAGCTTATTCTCGACCATAACCCAATCTAAAAACACGTTAAAATTGTGCAGCAGCAGGATTCCAGTCAAACCAGTGAGTTTGGCGGTTTTGAGACATCATCTTTCATTGAAAAAAAAAACCTTTTTCATTTTGCCGACGCGCATGGCTACGGCGACGCGCGCGCATACCAGAAACCGGAGACTTTTTTTTGGCCTAAAGATATCACCCCTAAAAGCAGGCCTAAAGCCCATCGCCATTTTGAAAACGGACGTCTAAGCTCCATTGCAAAATAGAGCCATTGAATGGCCTAATTTCATCAAAATGTCACACTAATACGAGTTCGCAGTCCTCTGCACGACTTCCGCCCTTCTTATTATTTTTTTTTAAACAAATCCTCCAGTTCGTATATCACGGTCCTCAAAATGCTCTAATACCGGATAATTTAGGGCATGCAGATCGTGATTTGGCCGGCGTAGGCAATTTCGGGCCTATTTACTGATCTGCACCCCTAGTCTGACGTATCGCTCGCCCCCACCGCCCGATAAAAGTGCACTGGTGGCCGGTCACTTCTTTAAGCTCTCATTGGACGGATTATTTACCCCGTGATTTGAAGTCTAGAGTTCATTGGACAAATGTTGCATACATGACTGTGATCCGGAGTCAATTTCCGCGTGCGTATGACACCTGCGTACAGAATGGACGTAGGCCTACACTGTCGACTCGACCTTTATCATTCTGCCACCATTTCAGTAATGTTCCCTGTATCCAATAACAGTACTGAATATTTTTATGCGCAAAAAGGAACCAGACTATTTTCCCTTCCAGCCTCGCTTTGGTTACGTTGATTTAAATGGGAAAAATCATGATGGCCGCAACATGATAGTGATAGACCTTTCTTTTGTTTGTAAACATTGGCGCCATTTTATATGGGCTGCAGCAAGCGCATAAATTGAAGCCGTGGTTGGCAACATGTTTTTCCCAAACAAGTCCCCATAACGCCCTCAATACAAAGTAAAAAAGCATGGTTAGGAATTATGTTGCAGCTTTGTTGACAATTTTGTATTTCCAACAATCAAATAATATTTTGGTTATCTGTAATAACTCGTTTTCATTTTTGCAGTGTTGGACCTTCCATAGTTTTGCAACCCGTGGTTGGCAAAAAAAATGCAGGTTGCCAACCAAGTGTAGAAAGGTCTATATACCATTATCATGTTGCGGCCATCCTGATCTTTTTGACCAGTGTTCGTGTTAAGTTCATGGCACTTGCTGCTGCGTTTCCTTTCTTCACATGTTTCCGTGAAAATGATTAGCATGCAGCGCCCATGGCAACGTTGGAGGCAATGCATATTACCTGTGACTTCAACATTTTCTCCACAAGTATAAGACAATTTTTTTGTGTAACCCAGACACTGAGAGAGAAAAAAAGGTTTGGTAAACACTAAAAAGCACTAAATATTGGCAATCTCCGGACGAACGTTAGCATTAACCCACTAAGGACCGGGCAGGGGGACGATGTACCACCATTCCTACTTCCACATGTTTCGCCCCATTTTCCAAATCACAAGACAAACACAAGATGGCGCTTTACTATATTTTTACCCATTTTGAAAAAACCCCCCAATATTTCAATGGTACAAAGATTCCTTGATTCAATATTCATCCAATCAAACTAAATTTATCATTGACAGTCGTCACTAAAGGGCGCTATACCTATCTTTGGGGGCAAAATTACTCCTTTTTTGGCGACTTTGTCCCACAAACTAAATGCATGCTGGATTCCCAGCATGCATTGATTTTTTTTTATTTTTCAAATAGAGATAATACTTAATTGATAGGTTTTGGTGGAGAAACCATATTTTTGACTAACGAATATGTATATTTTACTTTTTACATAATAATAATGATTATCAATATTTTAAATGTGTTGCCATGGCAACCACGGACATCCCACGGATGGTCCCGGAACAAAATTTAGGAAAAAAATGACAAAATCTCACGACGATTGGATGATTTCCAGAGCTGTTACATTGTGCACCCCAGCTTGACCCGCCTTTTCCCCTCTCTGCCCTTCAGACGAACCTAGCACCAACAATGAAAGACGTAAACGAAGCGGTTTCCTTTTTCAAACACACAAACAAGATACTTTTATTTCGAACTTTTCCTCCGATAGAGTCAGTCGGGCTTTGTACACATATATACAAATTGACGAGGTAATTTCACGTGCAATTACGTGATTAATTTTCCTTTTAAAATGAATGAATATTATAGAAGAAACTGCCATCATTAATTAACGGTAATAATTAAAAAAGAAAACCGTGAACTCAATGTCGGAATGGAATAGCGGCATCTCATATTGCACACATACTTAACAATACACACCGAGCATATGAACCAAATTGACATGGTGGGTTGGACATTCTGCTATCTCAATTGCAACCCATCACCGGACTTGTTTGTCCAAGTCGTCTGTAGTGCAGATGTATTTAAACCACCAACAAAGTCAATATTGGAACACAGACGGCGAGTTTTAAACACAGTATGAGTAAAAACACAGGCAAGCCTGTAATTGCCCTAAGCCCATGGTCCAATATAGAATAGTACATTTTCCACCTTGCCCCGGGCTAAGGGTACTTGGCACTATTCCATTAATACTGATTACAAAATAAAGTTTTGTATAATTAACATAACTTTTTTTATGATAAGAATACACACCTATTTGTGTAACACCCAGACTGCATGCTAATGACCTGCATGATTTTTGTCAACAGTACTAATTCGACAAATGGTCAGGCTGCCTTTTTTGAATAGCAGTCAAATTTAATATGTACAAAGATGACGGTAATTGACGAGATTGCAATTAAAAGAATAAAAATATTCACAATAAAACGGGGGTGTTTCTATCAAGAAAGGAAACGAAAAGAGCATTAAATCGATGTGTGTATGAAGAAAAATGTACTATTTACATTGAGAAGAAATATTATGGTTTTGTCTCATTATGGTAAGAGATCAACCTGATTGTAATTTTTTTTGTTTTGTTACAAATTCAAAGTGTGTTCTTGTCGAACCCCATTTCCTAGAATTGCAAGGATGTGGGGTAAAATCACCCAGAGAGACCACAATTTAACTAATTAAGTACCTTTATACTAGGTTTGATTCCCAAATAATACAATAAAAATAATAATAAAATATAATATAACAAAATAAAATAAAATAAAATAAAAACAATCAATAAAAGAAGAAACGAAAAATTATCACTGCAAACATTTAAAATTAAAAAAAATACACAAGGTTTGGCAGATAAAATAAAAGACCAGCTTTAAACAAAAATGGACATCATCACTAAATTGATTCGAGTTGTTTAGAGCAACCTCCCTGGACATTGAAAGATAAAATAATCACTCAAAATAACATCTCTATAAAATATTGTAAAAGTGTATATGGGCTGAGAATAACTTTTGCTTTGAAATAAAAGTCAAGCATAACTTATTTGAAAAAAAGTCAGTGACTGGAATAACTCATGCGTGATTCCCTTAATGTAAAAAATCCTGGTTCTTGACATGTTAAAACTCCATCTCCAAGTTGCAATGACATAAATTAATACCTCAGAATACCATCTTAAAATTTGCCCTTTTATTTTATGCTTACCTACATGTATATATGTATATTCCTTTAAAATTCTGAATCAAACTATTAAAAGAAAGACTTTATACTTTGATAAATAACATTTATTTCTGAATCCTTTCCAATGCAATGACTATTAATGAATGAAATGTGAGTATTCCAAACTGAAAGACATATTCGTACAATGACAGAAATTTGATCTCAAGCTTTTTGTTTAGTTTAATGACCTATGGATAATGGAACGCATGGTTTTAGCTCAAGGGATTAGCCAAGATCAAATATGTTTGAGGTGATACATGCGGAAACCCCCCCCCCCCCCAATATTCCGCATGTTTTAGCAAAAGAGAATATTTTCTACAAGGTGCACTTTTGCTTTTAGATCCTATCGTCCTCAAATGTAATTCTAAAGACTCATCTTTTGCCAAGTGTTAATGTGAATCCTAGAATGTAGCCTTGCTCACAATATTGGTCACATCAGAAGGGAAAAGTGATAAACGTCAAATAATTTTATAAATTCTATTTTTTTTTGCAGACCAGAACAGTACATGTACATTCACAGAGCCACAAACTAAAAGTGATAATATATGATACAGGTATAAGCTAAACCACACAATACAAACAGATCCTACAAGCTAAATATATGCAATCAAACCTGAGATAGTAGAATTGCTTGCCTCGTGGGTGAAATTTCCAATGCATAAATTGTTCATTTTTAATACAGGGCGAGTCCCCCCCCCCCCCCAAAAAAAGAAAACCCAAATGTCAGGACCATTTTTTAAAAGAAGTTTTGCCTAATATGAAAGCCCACTCAATGAGCTTTCTTTCTAGTTCATTTCTCAATCACGTACTTTTCATGTTACGGAATTTTGAACACAAATACCGTTTTAACGTTCTGTTCACAGATCACAAAAAAGGTAAATGCTCTTTCAGAAAAATGAAAACAATTCACATACATCCCTATGAGAACTGTTTTCGTTTTGCTGAAAGAATTCTTGCCATTTTTGTGAACCCTGGACAGAACCCTAAAACAGTGTTTGTGTTTAAAATTCTGTAACTTGAAAAGTACATGATTGATTTGAATGTTTCTTGTACTAAAAGAAAGCGTATTAATTGGGCTTTCATATCCTAGGTTTTAAATTGCTACATGCAGAACTTCATAAAAAAAGTGATCATGCCATTTGGGTTTCCTTTTTTTTTTGCTCGCCCTGTATGATGCTACTTTATTGCAGAAATTACAGCAACAAAGACTTGCTGATCTAACCTTTGACCCTAATTCCTAGGTAGTAATCTTTTGCCTCACACCCTCCCAAGTTCCAAGGAATCAAATCATTGCCCCAATTTAAAGTAAAAGAGGCTGCAAAATAACCAAACCTCAAATTGGATTTAATAAAAAATTGAGGGTTACGGTATAAGATGGCATTTAAAGGGCCCATGCAATGTAATTTGTTTTAATGCAATCCTTCAAAACGCACCTTTATGTGTCCCATTTAACCTTATTTTCCATTTTCGTTTTGTCATTTTCAAGGGTATTTTTTACTGAACAGTGTCTTCTTAAAATGACATCACAGCAACAGCGCCCTCAGTTGTCCGGAAAAGAAGTGCAGAGTAGAAAGTTGCATAAACTGTGTTCCTCAACAAAACAAAAAAAATCATCTCATGGCCCCTTTAAGTGATTCAGTTATTCTTGTTGAAGTCTCAATGATCAGGAACATGATTCTCAAGGAGTGTTGTGTAAATATCACTCTAAAAAATAACAGATTTGGTTAACTAGTACACTGTACTGTATATACTATACATGTATAACCTAGGATCTTATCTCTCTGTATGCCACAGTATGTACATCTTAAAATGCTACTATACAATATAGACATGGACTCATATGCGAGTCTCAATGGAGGGAGTTACATATTCAAATACTCAGTCAAATTACAAAATCTCATTATATCGGGATACATCTTTGTCAAATACATGACTTTTACTTCTATTTATCAAAATATCATCTCGTAGGAAATAAATAGAAGATATTATTTAGGAACCTTGTTTTAGAGAAGGGCAAGGACTGAAAGCAGCAAGCTTTGCAGCAATACTTAAAGGTGGAGGAAGTCAATTACAAGCGAAGAAAATGCAGAGCAAATTCGGCCTAAGTTACATTGACACTAAGAGCCTATTCATAATTTCTCAGGTAACTTGTACAGCCATTAGAAGGACAAATGTATATTAAAAAGTGGGTAATAATTATTAAGTGACAGCTTATGTTTAAGAATTTAAATGGCAGTGATTAATGATGCCGTCACAGAGGAGAATTTTGTTTTTCAATCGGTAGTGGAGAGGTCATACTTAAAATGATGATCCTACCCCAGATCTGAGCCTATTAAAATCAAGACATCACAACCTACCAAACTTCCAAGACAGAGGTTCCCTAACTGACCATTTTGGAATGACCTTCACTGTCCATACTGGAATGACTTATGTTTAAAACATCTGTCAGATAACCTACACTGGACAGCAGAGTGACAATTGAACAATACTTTGGCCGACATCTGTGTCCACATTACTTGGGGGTACCTCCAACAAACTGGCACTCAATCTCATCAATCAATCAATCACAATGAAACAAGGTCAAAGCTTCCCCTGTTTCTGGCATTTCTTTTCTCCATCATTAAAAATGCTTTGTTTCCTAATGTAAGTCTCTCTTGAATCACGACTCAAATTCATAGGACTTGCAATATCTCTGACGGTTAAAAGTTCTAAAACAGAGAAACCCTTTTACTGGCACAAATATCCTTATCTACTTTCAAATAAAGCATCTGATAAGTTTTGCAAGATAGTGACAAAAAGTAACTGGTGCCAGCCTTGTTCAACAGAACTGAGCTACAACCGTCAGGAAAAAAGTCACAAAGTTTGTGTGACTTGAGTGCAACTGCGATGATATTCAGACGACCAGCATCAGTTGGTGCTAAAAATATTGTAGTCGCAGATGAAGAAAAACGTAAACTACTGCACTGCGCTGGAACGTGTTCACGACGGGACATGTTCCCCACAGGCAGGAATCAATCGCACTTGACCTGTGTGAAGTTACGACGTTGTGCGCGCATCCGGACGATCTAATTTTATTGTAAACCGTTATGTCGTGGTTGACATGAGCTTGGTTCCTGTTATTCTGTGGCCAGATGCCCCTTGTTCCATGATAATCACACAATTTCTCAGTTTTGTGACCCAAGCACGACTTTTGTGCTTGATGCCGACGGTTCCATTGCGGCGCAAGTAAATCGCAGATCTATCTAAAGGGCAGCTTTAGGCTGACAGAATCTCTTAACAATAATCAAGAATCAAGGTTGGTAAACCAGGGCACTCATTCACGGACGACCTTTGACCTGATGAAACATTACCAGGTTCCTTCGATATCAAGGGTCGCTCTACTGTGACCCTTGGCCCCCTTAGGAAAGTCCTCTCCATCACTGCAATCGGAAGAATCCGTGACCAAGCCGTGGTCCTCAGACTGAAGACAGTGAAGAAAAAAAAGATACAAAACACATGACATGAGAAAATTTAATCAGCAAACAAATATAGAGGAAAATTGGAATATTTCCAGTTCACAAGTGAAAGAATTCCAGAATGCGAACTGCACAGTATACACAGGTGCATTCCATTTGCTGCAGGACAATAATGTAAAAAAGGAAAATCCATTGCTATCATGAGTGTTATGCAGTTTGTCAAAGTGAAGAAACAAAAATATGCTCTTCAAAAAGCGATAAGTATGTGTTGTTTTTGAAAAATATTCGCCTCAGGTTATGCAAACAAGGTCCCTACCCACAAGCTAATTTTGACTCATAGGCAACTATACTGTGTTTATTCAGAGGTGAAAACAGTAAAAACATTGAGTCTAGTACTGTGGTGGTTGTGAGCATTAGAGGGCAGGGCTGTTTGGGGCGGTACAGTGGCTAATGGGTTACATACCGGGCTACTAAAACCAATGCAGAAACAAGCACAGTGTCAAAAACACCCTGCATAATATGATGATTATTACTCTAATCACATAAAAAAAAAGAAAACAATCAAATGATTACAGATTCGTTGATTTTACACAAGACAATTTCAACTCTCACCTCAAACATCATTTCCCTGGAGATCTGCTTCATGACCTTCTTGACCTCTCTCTCCTTATCTGACAGACCATCAGACACCACAGCCACCTCGTTAGCAATGCTCAATACCTCGCTGGTCTTGGTCCGCAGCCGACCGTCCGGCAGGGCAATATGCCGCGACAGTTCACTGGTGTTGCCATCATCCGAGAAATTGGGATCAGAGCTGCAAGCCAGGTAGGACTGCCGGCTACTCATCTGATTCCTGATAACAACAATCCAAACAAAATATAAATAAATAAAAATCCTAGTTTTGTTGTGGGAACAGCTTTTGGGTCAGTTTAGAACAAAGTGGCACGTGCATGTTTTAATAGGGCAGAAGGGTCAGTGGGGCATACTCTTTGGGCACTTTTCAGGTCTAGAATAGCAATGTATATTGTAAAGAGCTTTTTAACATTACTAAAGTAGTGTCCTTGCCTATAAGTTTTGGAGGATTCAGATGATTTCAATAGATGCTAAAGGTAGTAAATGTGAAATGCGAATTTAGATTTGTGTTTGGGAAAATGTTAGGTTTTGGTCATTACCTGTCTGACTGGGTTGTTTGTTCGTCTGAAGAATGGCATATAGTGATCGGTTCATCGCTGGAGTAACCTCGGGAACCCTGAACAAATCAATGAAAAATTCAAACCATAAATAAAAGGAACTTATATTTCCATGATAACTGAGCTTTCAATGTAACTGAAGTTGCACATACTAGCAGGTGCAACAACTGAAGTGTATAAAATGGAAAAGTTAGACACATGAGACAAGCAGTTAACAAACAGCTTGACTGAAGAATGAAATTTGTTTTGTCAACTAGACACTCACCTTTGTGATATCAATAATGACATCGCCGTTAGTTCTGGTCTTAGTTCCAGGCCTCATCTGAGGTGATATAGATCTCTTTGGTACTTTGACTGCACCACCTGGGGACCTCCTGAGTGGGCTAGATCTCTGGACTGCCAGTCTCTCTCCAATGTAACTACTTGGAAGAACATTGTCCTCATCATCAAGGATGCTCTTATCACAGTTCGCAGTGGGGGAAGTATTACTGTTGATCTCATCGCTGTCGCTACCATGTGAGGTGGATGTCACGCCATGGTCAGGGATGTACTGACAGGCCCTGCCTGGCCGGTTCCTTGAGGACCGGTTGGGACACTTCCCTTTGCACACACATGAAGTACACTTGCCTTTGCTTGTGCATATGCATGAGTTTCTGCTCCTTGGGTTTGAGGTCAGTTCTGGTTGCCTGATTGCTGCGTACGGCCCAAAGTACTTGAAATTCTCACAGTTGGCTCTCTCTAGGTCCAAGGTCCTCTCTGTGTCCGAGCGGCCAACCTGGTCACTCTCCTTCTGTCCGAGGTCCTTTGGGGACATGGCCCCAGCCCCAGATACATGCAAGTCTGACAGGGGGACTTCTTTCCCTGGGCTGATTCCACCCTTGCCAAAACTTCCCTTGGGGCTAACTCCACCTTTGCCAAAGCTGCCACGGCCGTGGCTGTTATTGCGCCGGTGTCTGGTCTTGCGCTGGACACGGACTCTGCTTGGTGACGTCTTGGAAGATGTGGGTGGGGTCCTGGGTGAGAGAGTTGGGGAGGAAGGATCGGTCTCGGGTGTGGTTGTTGCATCAGTGGGCGGGCTTATTGTCCTGTCAATCAAAGAATATGTATACATTGAGGTGTTCACTCATCCACCAGGAGTTGAATACACCATGACATTAATAAGTGCAGGTGATATGTATTTTTTTGATTTCATTTGTAATATGATCCAAACCCTCAAAAATTTCAATAAAATTTGCAAAACATCAACCGACTAATACAGGAAATGATCAATGAAACAGGAAATGATACACAAAACATTCTTAATTAAATGTACTTAATGCTGTAGTAAAGAGTATGCGCTTTAACATCAGAAGAATCAGAATGAAACACAAGCACTCGTGTAATAAACTTTAAAGATTCCCCCCACATATTCACTTATAGAGGGCATAGTTATGCATACTGCCTCCACATTGGACCCTATTAAACCCCCAAAATCAGTAGGTCCAAACTTCATTTCAAAGCTTCAAATCTTGCTACTCTGATTTCGCAGTTTATATCGATGTGTGCTCAAGTATGTGGGTGCATACGTGTATCTTAACTAAGATTGTTAATGTGTTACCACGATGCTTAAGTCATAAACGGCGGATTCAGTTGATTGAGATTACCTGTTGAGAGTAGAGGTAGAGTTGCTTTGATGACTGGCCAGGGATTTCTTGATGAGTTTCTCCATAGCCTGGGTCTGGGCCTTGAGGATGGGTTTTATCGTCCGCTGTTGTTTCTTTTTGGTGATGCTGGTGGCCAGCTGCTGCTCTTTCCTTCAAATCCCAACAAAAACAAAACCATGAATTAAAACCTGTGGATTCCAAACTGAGTCAGGCTGAGCAAGTTTGTCACAAAGAGGATGTGTGGACATGCAACTTTCAACCTAAATTTGGATAGCAGAGAAGTACCGTACATGCGAGTTGATATCAATTCACACTGTTCACATAAAACCTTTTACACTATTCAAAATCTCCATGTCGGACTCAGTTGGACACGGACATTTCTAGAACCCCTTTTACACTTGCAAGAATCCAACACGGCTTCTACACGGGTCCAGTGCACTACATGGGTGAACTCCCAGGTAAAAAAGCCAAACTCTACAACAGCACCGTATACACACAGGCGTCAGAGTAAACAGCATGCCCAGCCTACCCATGTTTGACGGGACCCGGTTACACTTATGCCAGTGTTGATTTCAACTTGGGAAGGCGAGATGATACTTTGAAAAGGCCTATACTCTAAAAATGTCATATGAATGTCCCCTACACCCAACAAGCTGAGCTTTAGCCACCCTGCCTAGATAAATTTAGGGATCCGGGCTTTATTAAACCATGTGCTTTACCAGCATATCAGAACTAGGTCTTTTGCAGTCGGAACAACAACAGCACCCAATGTATCTTATGATAACCTAGAAACTAAGAAAACTGTCCCTGCTACGCCTTGTGGTACAGGTTTTGTCAACTTTACAGAAAGCTTGTTATGCCATGGGATATCACGGTCACGTGATGTACCTATTGAGTTCTTTCTCTCTCTGTTCTAGCTGTAGTAGGCAGGTACTCAGTTCCATGTACAAGTTGTTGGCTCGCTCCAGTTTCCTCTCGTAGTGTTCACGGATGTCTTGAGCATGTCTAGCAAGAAACATGGATACAATGGGATTGGGAAATTAACATTCAATGGCAGTAACTACATGCAGAAGACAATTCTAAGTACTGGCCAATTCTTTCACTCAAGACAAAACATTCATAGATCTTGCTGTCTTGCAACCCTCAGAATATCCATTCGGAAAGACTTTGTAATATCTTATGCCTTGTGAGCAATATTATATTTTATAACAATCCTTCATGTATTTCACAGAAAACATGTAATTTTATGTCTCAATATTGGGTTCTTCTCTTTACGTCAGTTTATATCTGATTTAAAGGAAACATGCAGTCCAAAATTTTCATAACGTATTTTATTTTATATATACATTCATTTATGTGTATTAAATGTGAATTAAAAGCAGAACTGGTTCTGGTGTACGTTTAGTGTGGTAATTTGCCGTCCAAAATTGAACCCCCCCTTTTTGATTTTCGCGGCAACTCCAAATGAGGGCGCTGTTCATGACATAAACAAAGGCAGAGAAATCCAGGGCCCGTAAATGACGTCTGGGTACGAGACGGATTAGCGAAGCTACTGTGCTGTGTGCAGCCGCCGCGTACCCGTACGTGGCATTATATGCACACGTACGAATGTGTCTACATGGGATATGTACAGTACACGTGGACGTGCCACGGTGCCACCGTTGTCGAATGAACACAACGACGACCGTCATGACCGTAAAAGTTCCGAAGACCGTCCTCTTCTTTCCTTAGCGAATCCGATGAAAATGGTACAGATTCGTCCGATTCGAATCAGAGTTCTAATGATTCAGACACTGACTCGATGTTTTTTTAGGGGCATGCCCAAGTTGCTGTACAGACCAGCATCAAAGCACGACGGCTCAAAGTGCAGCGCAGAGGGCCGCGAACTCACTGGGCCCGGACCACTTTGCTCTGGTATTTACCTTCACTTTGGCTCTCCAAATGCTCCGATATTTCGGATTTACTGGAAACAAATGAAGGCTTACTCCATCCTTGGTAGTTTTGCTACACCCAGCAGCCACACACCTTGTCGGCATGGCCGAAAATCGGGTGTTATTTCTCCTCGATTCCGAACGAAACACCAGAAAAACTTTCAGTGCCGCAATGTATATGTACATGTATTATGATGCACGCCGCAATGCCGGTGCCCCCGCAGCGCGGCAAGTCTCTGCCTTCGCTTGCGTCATACCCCTCGCGAAGTTTTATGTTAATGAAGCTTCCCTTTGTGGGGCGGAGTAGTTTGACCAAACATGTTCACAAATTATTTTCCCCCATTTATCTTAGAAAATAAACACCGCCATACACAAAATATTGTTAAGAACATCATCCTTTATTGATTTAAGCAAAAAAAATGCAATCAAAATTTTATTTCATGTTCCCTTTAATGTGGAAAGGATCTTAAGACCGTTTTTTTCAACAGTATGTCGAGAAAAAGAAGTGCCACTTTTTAAGAAATCATGATTTCAGCTTTTTTAAACTCTCAAGCACTGGCTTTCGCCTTGACTGAAATGACTTTCGCAATTGCTGGCCATGATGACTGGATTTTTTCGTCTGACTTGCTGATGCCTCTGATGATGTTGGGGCTTACCTGAGTTCTGCCTGACGTCGTTTGATCAGCTCCTCGTCCATGCGATGAATTTGAGATCCTTCACTCTTCATCTTCTCAAACTGCAGCTTAATCTCCTCTCTCCAGTCAACCTGGTAACAACCAAGACAAAACACAATACTAATCACTTACATCATCTAAAATAAGAAATTACATGTAAATAGCTATATCAATGAATAATGAAAAAAAATTACAACAGAAAACACAAACATTCAATCCAAATAATACAACTATCAAAGCAATTGCCTAAAATCATCAATGGAAATAAAATATGAAATAAAACCAAGACAAACTAGACATATGTTTGTGGACAAACATAGGGCTGTTTCGGTAGCTTTTTGTGACATGTGACATCAACGAAGGATGTGTAGTTCTGTTTATAATAAATGGTGGCATATAATATGTGATTCCATTCTCATAGGGCTTTGAATTATGACGTCACATGTCACGTGATGACGTCATGATGACGTCACATAAAGTTTCATCTATTACTGTAATAGTATGGTAAAGAACAACTAAGCCAGAGCAAACATCGTTAAAAGCAAGTTCACGTCTTTCACCAATTTTGAATAACAAAGCACTTCCGGTTTCAACCAGAAGAAAGGGTCACGTGATTTATTTGCGCATATTTAAAAAATGAAGACCCTCGATAATTCTATCAATTCCCGCAAAAATCATGTTCAGGTCTCGACCACCTAATTTTTTTCTACCTATAACACATCCCGGTCTAGCCACATACCAAGTTTCAACCCAATCAGACTTACAGTTCTGTAGATATAGGACTTCATAATATGCACGTAAATTTTCAAAAATCAATAAAAAAAATTAGGTGATGACGTCATCATGACGTCATAGTCTTGGCATAATTTTTGTATGAGGGTCTTCCTTGGCTGTAACATTGATGACGATTCTAATCGCCAAGTTATAGAAATGGTGGCTTGAAAACGTCAATGGGCTAACACGTGTACAAAGTTAACGGGCTAAAAAAAATCCCACTGCAGAAAAATTGCACCTTTAAATTTGTACTTTGCCTTTGAACTGAAACATTTTTATGAAATATTACTTGATATTCTGAATATGTTCAATCGAATGACAGCGCGAAAAAAAATACGATTTCTCTTTCCTTCTCATAGTAATTCTCGGCTGAAGTTCAGAACTACTCAGTAAGATATCAGTGTTGTATAGGAAAAGACTTGTGGAAAATCCCACTGCAGAAAAACTGCACCTTTAAATACGTAACATGGGGCTTTTTGGCATTATGATTTTTTATTATACGTCCCTGACTATGCGCAGGCATGAACATAAAATCTGTCAAAGTTAGCCGAAAATCGGCTAAAACGGTCACTGTGATGTGGACAGGATTTGACTTCGGCAACACGTGCTCTGCAGGCTGACTGACATACATGTACGATGTATGTGCGTAATGCACGTGTATGTACATATAGACGTTCTGTGCATGTTTTAGAGCAGATGTATTGTCAACCTGAAGTTTTAAGCGTGCGCAGGGCATGTCCGAGTTTGCGTTTTGCCTTGAAGCTTTGAAATGTGTTAGACCTACCCTTAAATCGACAATTAAAGTAAAAACTAACATAAAAACTGCCATGGTTGATTTTTCAGGAATTTTCAAATGAAAAAGGGTCTTTTTATTATAACTTCCGGTCTGATGACGTCATTCGCCTAAAACTTCGCACACGTCTTAAGTGGGTCAAGGTCATCATATACACCAATATTTAGGCGATTCCGACAATCTTCACCACAGACATCTATTCAAAATACATTTTTGCAAATTTTCAACCTGTCGCTAGAGGGCGCTCGAAGATTGCATGATGTCATTGGTAGATGATTTGAAGAATACTTTTAGTCAAGAGACTAACACCGTTAAAAGCAAGTTCATATCTATTACCATTTTCAAATAATAAGCCACTTCCGGTTTTGGCCTTTTTCGACCGGAAGCAAGGGTCACGTGATTTCACGCACACTGAATGAAATAAAGACCTCAACCTACTCTACCACTTGCCGGTAACAGAATGCTGCGGACGCGTACGGTTGATTTCTTATGCATTTTTAAATATTAAAAGTGTCACAATTTAATTGCCTATAAATACACACAGGATGACGTCATCATGACGTCATCATTACACAAGGTTGTTTGAATTATGGTCTTTGCTTGGACAAAGATTGGTGCAAATGAATTACTGGCAAAGAGTTAAAAATGCCCTTTGAAAATCGACAATTTTTTTTCGATTTCTGTGTACAAAGTCTATGGGAAAAATTAAATATTCAAAATTCTATAATAAATTAGTCGATGACGTCACGATGACGTCAATGTTCGGCACAACACTTCAGATGATGGTCTAAGTGTGTGCCAAGTATAAAGTCAATCGGATTGATTTTAGTGCCCAAAGTGCCGGTGACAAAAAAACGTGTACAAATGCTATGGGCAAAATGACTGAAAAAGAAAAAAAAAAAAAAAGAAAAAAAGAAAAATCTTAACGAAAACAAAGGCTGTTTCGGCAAAAGTGCCGAAACAGCCAATAAACTATAAATATCCACTCAAAGTAATCAATAAAATGTCATGAAATTTGAAAAAAGAGCTTTTCAACAAATATTCGATCCTAAATAACTATCGTATGGTTCAATGTCTTGCCCACTGCATGATTCTCCCAGAAAAATGTCAGTATAATTGTTGATGCAATCCCAATCTGTTGTTTTTTATTGATGACACTCTACCAATGTGTCCCTTGTGGACATTCAATGACAAATACCACAATATCATTGATTACTTTTGAATCATTCTATAAAGACTCCGACAATTTTAAACCAAGTGTTTCAACATTTTGCTTTTTCCCATGGAATCCAATGACAAAAAAGAAAGAAAAAAGACGTACATGTATTTATATACTGCCAATAATCAAAAATATTGAAAGGCAATTTTAAGAATTGTTCATGTCACTTTCATTAAACCCTAACAAAAGTATGAAATCATTCAGCGGCAATTTCTACATGCTTAACTGTTTTCCATTTGTGCTGACATATGTACACTTGTATTGATTCAATACTTATTTTTTTTCCAGGTAATATTTAATATGCAAATAAGCATCTGTAAACACACAGCATATGGTGGCATTCAATACTGCACTGAGACTGTTATGAAACCAGCCACTATACGCATACATGTACATCAGTGACCTGTACAACCGATCAATTATAATAACATGTACACGTACATGTACGCCCACAATCAGCCAGCCTTCACCTTTATGCATACAGTTCAAGCAAGTTCAATTCCATTCAGAACTGCTTTCACTGCACTTGACTTGTGTCACAGGAATGGGGAATGGCAAAAAGACATTTACATAATTATGTGCATGTACACTATGATTCGGAACTTAAATTCACTCATCACAATCCAATTTCTGCACCCACTTTCACAATTGTGTTTACATACGTGTACAAAGTCTAAAAAAAATTTGAGGGTAAATTTCTATGAGTGATTTAAAAAAAATAGTATAACTTTATTATCAATGGTGGCTACTGTCTGAAGAAAAAAAAACATTTCAGAAATCATAATCCATTTGCAATGATGATATTTACAGGCAAAAAATCCATAAAATGTCAAATTATTCAATTCTTAAAAAAAAACACCCAGAAATTATGTAAGTAGACTCTTTTTGCCTGCAATTTGAGGTATAAAGGTATTGGTAAGTATACACGTAGGTATGGTGTCAATATGTTATTTATATTACAAAAAGGACTTATGCATGTATACTGTAGAGAATTTGACAGCACACATGCATGTACTGGTATGTTTATACATGTATACATGTACATGTACTAATGCCCATTCCAATTTTGGCACATTTACATGTACCGGTAACAGTGGTTATCCTTTTGTAAATTATTCATTAGTAATCTATCATCAGAGCCATCATCAACAAACTGTCATTATCTATCGACTGGATATGAATGGTATGGTTTCCATGGACTACGGTTAATTATAATCAAGTTGACTTTGAACAAGAGAAGCTCGGGCGCAAATTCTTAGAACAACTGCTCCGATATTAGTACTGATACAACAAAAAAGTGTGTTTGCTTAAAGAGAAAGGATGCCAGGAATTCGCTTTGTCAATACACTTGGTTATCTATTAACTATGAAGGGAGTACTGGTCTGTTTTCTATTTGGCAGTGTATTATTCCACTCAGTAGTAAGGAATGAATAATCATGAGCAGCCACCGTTAGGCACTGCTTCTAGTTTGGCCTCCGTGTAAAGGTGAACAACGAAATGTAAGATTCGTGGCGGAGAGTGATCAATAAACTATCAAGCACTAAAAGGTCAAGAGAGGCGAAGCTAACGCTGCTGTTAACACTCTCAGCAAAATAACGATGGAAAAGATCACGCCATTAAAATGGTCATATTTTGTTATCACCAACAAAAGGCCAAAAAGAAATGTCACTTTGGGTGAGCTGAATAAATGACATACAAAATTTTCTTGATACTGATGTCGTGAAAGATGGAATTTCATGTGCTACTTAGAGCATGGAAAAGAACACGTACAGGAACTGAATTTGATTTGGACTGATAATTTAGGCGGACTGTTTTTCTTATGACAAATTATTACTTCAATTTTCTACCATCATAAACTGATAACTGAAAGACAAGGAATATATGTCAGGAATGTCTGCCCTAATCACGCCCAATACATAGAAACTCTGGTTGACCCATCTGTTTGCAACCCATCTTTGGACAGTACGTGGGCGAGAACAAATAATGTACGCGTAGCAATGTTATCACAATGGACTTGCACCCCACATCACCCACGTAATTACACGCAACTACACAGTACCCATAGTTATCTTTGACCCAAAATTGGTATCATATCTTACCCGCCAACGACTTAAAAATCTGACTTGTTTATTTTTTTCTCTTTTCATAAATATCACAATATATTCCTTTGACTGTTTTGGGGCAATTTTTTGGGTTGCAGGGACTTTGACCTAACTGGCTTCAAGAACCTATACAAAAGGTCTGGCTTGTTGAATCATATCTGTATGAATTGAGTCACGCTTGTATCATCAAAGGTAATGCAAACATAGAAAAGTTGTCTGCTTGTATCGGTGTAGTGATTGTATATCAATTAAATATATCACAACGCTATATATATTTATTAACCTTTGTGGTGTATGAACCTTACTTTTCAAGTTTTGATATCCTACATGTGACAACATCATCCCAAAACTCATTGATGTTATTTGCAATTCAAAATAAAGAGTACATGTACGCGCGCATTTACACGCATGTGATTTGTAACTAAGAAAGTCTGCTTAAAAAAACATAACATCAAAGATTCTGCCTGTTGGGGGCAACAATAAGGGAATGCTTAAGTCCACAGATTGCTACAGTAATTATACACTGATATACGCATGCCTGTCACACTAAAATATCCATGCTAGTTTTAATATACCACTGCTTTAAATTACAAGTGTAGTTCACAAATTTTAGCATAATTTGTCTTAACCCTAACCACTCCAACTCCATCAAAATCCAACCCCCCCCCCCCCCCCCCCATTTTGGTGGATTTTGTGGGACTTGGTCAAGGAAGGCTGGCATGACTAAATATTGATGGAGTATGATAGATTGGGTCCCATGGCCTGATGCAGTGCTACCGGGTAGGTGTATCCGATTGATTTTGCCTAGCTTCCTGTACTGCTATTGTGATAAAAGCTGTGTAGCAAGTCCATGAATGTCAACCAGTGCGCCAGTGGTGGATTCCATTATGTAATGTACAGTTTTGTATCGAACATACAGTGATTGATGAATTTTGATGGACTTGGTCCAGTTCCTAGTAAAAGATGCTAGGGAGTTAGGGTTAATCAAAACTTGAGTTGATAATCGTCCCAGTAAATTTCTTTTATCATAGTGATAAGGTGTAATGAAGTCTTATAGAGACAGCTGCTGCTTCTTTATTCAAGCAAGTAGATAATAAGGCAGTACTATGCTAGGAATGTTGCAAACAGGTTTTAGATCCAGAAACAGGTGTATGGAATGCCAGCCAGGTGCAGAGTAAACAAAACCTAGCTGCATTACGTCCAGGTGGATTAAGAACAACACAAATCTATTGTGTGGGTAAAAGGGGTGGACTTGCAGTCCACTTATGATAGAGAATCTGATCAAACAAGAGACCAGAAAATAGGGGAAAAAAAGCTGAAGACTAATGCCTTTGGAATGTTTGCCAATTTCTGTAGATAACTGATATTTTACGAGCAAATATTATTTGTTGGATGAAAACCTAAAAAGAAAAGAGTATTATAAATGTCAATACACCCTCCCCCTCCAAAAACAAGGTTAACAATTTACATGCAAAATATTATTTAACTTTTTAGCAAGCGGATGTACACACACAGGAAAAATTGGTTGTATTTCTCTGCACTGACATAGTATTGCTTTTGCAGTATTAGTGGAAACTAGCCAACAGCTAGATCTCTCTGGAAAAGATGGCAGCCTATTTCTGGCCAACTAAAGAAAGCAATTCCGTGCCAAAAAAAAAAAAAAAAAATCAGGATAACGATAGGTTGACCGCTTACCTGCTTGTCGAAGTAGGCCTCCTGTGGAGTGGAGAGAAAGTCAGCCGCGGCAATGTCAATGTGCATCAAAATCTGCCGAAAGGATGGCCTATTCTTGGGTTTAGCACTCCTGCCAAACACAGAACATTGATAACACAAGTCAGCTTGAGAGTCAGAAATATAGATTTGTTCACACAAAAAATACCAGGATTTAAGTCAGAATATATGAAAATCCTAGATAAAGACACAAACATACCAGCACTGCATCATGAGCAGTTTGAAACCCTCTGGGCACGTGGATGGAATGGGCAGCTGTAGACTGTTGCTGCCAACGCCCCAGATAATGGCCGAGGAATCCACGTCCTGAAAGAATATCAAAGCAATTCTTACATGGCCAATTCCAGCATTATGTGATGTCCATGACTAGAGCTTTTAAGAGCTCAGTGAATGAAACCTGAGAATGTCTTTTTCAAATCTTATACATCCATCATCTAGTAATGGTCAAGGAGATTACAGACTAGGAGTTTTGGATCATTTCTCTGAATCATTAATGAGATATCACGGTTACTCGACTCTGTAACGGACATTACACTTCCTTTCATTATGCTAGAATTGCTTGCATGTCAAGTATATCTTATGAAGAAAGAAAAATCCCTCCTTTGCTTTGAAAACAGCTGCTCATAAATCATGAATTTGTTCTGTCAATGGCCTCACCTTGTAGGGCATTTCACCAGTTAACAGTTCCCACAGCACTACCCCAAACGACCAGACGTCTACTTTCTCTGAGCATGGCTCATTACGTATGACTTCTGGAGCCATCCATGCCACCGTGCCAGCGAAGGACATCTTAGTACTCTTCTCATTCCACTCTCGACTGGTGCCAAAGTCTGAGATCTTCAGGACGTCGTTGAATGCCACCAGAACACTGTACGGGAGCACAAAGACAGAGAAACAATATTAGTCATAATGGCAAGTAACACCCACTAACGCAATGTGATACAAAAACTGCTTGGGTGAAATTTGTAAACAAAGTTATGGCTTAATGTTTATGATCAAAACCGACAGGTGTATTGAGCAATTCAAATTCTCACAATATCTTATTCTTTGTCTTAGCAGTGAGCATGTACCACGCTTACACTGTATTTGTCCATGAATAATCATTTTTTCCCCTGTATTTTCCTTGCTGTTTACATTCAGGAGACTTGCACGCAACCTGTGCTTTTTGAAGGTGCCCTTCTTAGAACTTAGGTTTAATACATATCATATAATGAAGATGAAAATTACTTAAAGTGACAACCCTAAGACACAAGTCATGTCCGCCACTAGGCATTTAAAACCTACTTTGGAGACTTGAGATCTCTGTGAATGATCTTGTGCATGTGAAGGTAGTTCATTCCTTGTGCAATCTGCTTGCTCCAATCCACCATCAGCTTGGGCGGAATCTCACGGCCTTCCCTCAAGACTTCATACAGCTGACCGCACGGACAGTACTCCATCAGGATACAGTAGCACGGTGCTTGCATACACACACCCCTGGATAGAACAGATGGATTCAGGGAGCATGACCGTCTAATCAGGTTTCATTTTGTGACTTGAGTTTTGTGAAACACTTATAAGTAAACAAACATGTAAGGGTTTGAAAATCTAAGGACATGTACACATGTGCCAAGATTCTTACAAGCACCTAATGTTGTGTTGGGAAAAACTAATCTTAAGACTTGTTGGAAATTTTTGTGACATTTACAGGCATTTTTGTTGAGTTCTTTTTATTTTTTAAAGCAATGTTGGATTTACATCTAGATTTATCGACTATGGGTAATTCTGGGCTGTTATTCGATATTTGAAGGGAATGAATCCCTAAATTTCTATCAAACTGACCCTGTATACCCAACCTGTTGATTAACTGAGGGCCAAGAGGGTTATATCATATTGCAACTCTTACTTGACGGAGACTATGTGAGGGTGGTTCAGCTTCCTCAAGTGCTTGATATCTATGTCCTTCTCATCTCGGACTTTCTTCACAGCGATGTCAACTCCCCGCAATGTACCGAGGAACACGGCTCCCTGGGCCCCACTGCCCAGCCACTGGAGATTGCGAATGTCTTCAAAGGGGACCTCCCAGTTATCTACAGGGAAAAAAGGAAAACCAACACATGGTATCTTCAATATAAAGAAGTGTATGAGTTGGGATTGAGTACCTCTCTCATGGAGCGCTATTGCCACGTTTCAGTTGCAGCTTCTTAAAATATATTTTTTTAATCTCATTTGATGGGATTCACAAAGCATGTTACATCCTAGTGAGAATGTTAAATCATCCTTACCTACGTGTGTACTACCACAATGTCGCGTCTGTTGCTGCCCTTACTGTTACTTCAATGCTATTTTCAGTTTTAGCTTTTATTTACGGCTTGTTTCCCCCCATAAGGATAAATTTACGAGGCAGTTCTTACTATTTTTTTTAGAGCAATACATTTTGGTAATATCACCGGTTGATGAACAAAGCGCTTCCCAATAACACACATGACTTCAAATGTGTCATGATCTTTACCAATCTAATTTATCTTCATATTTGGTTTCATGATGCAATTTGGTTTAAAGATGTTTAACACCGAAGGCCCGTTGTGTATCATTGTGAAGCTCTCTTGAGGGCCATTCACATGCACGTCTGGAAATCAGGTTTTTATGAAAGATAGAAACTTCTCTGTTTTGAAATAAGCAAAAAAAACCACAAAATGTAATGGTGACTCTTTAGCTAGGGAAACCCACCCGTGATTTGCTTTTCGGCAGCAGTGGCTTTGCCGATGATAGTCCAGACTGGTCTGAGGCAGCCTAGGAACCCATCCAACAAGCTGCGTCGTTGACCGCCGCTGAACGCCACCTGATTCTCTCGGTTTGCGTTGATGTTGTTGGTTGTTGCCGTAGCATTGTTGGTGTTATTGTTGCTGGAGGTGTCGTGTTTCTTGACTGGGAGGCCATTGCGTGGTGATGTCAGGTCAATTTCTTCACAGTCCTCAAGTTGCAAAACACTGGAGGGGTAGGGGAAGAAACATTATGCATAATCATGCAAATACAGCAAAACGGTGTTTCCAGCTACAATTTTTTCGCCCTGAGAAACAAACGACACAGTTCAATTTTATTTTCATTTTCAATTCTATTTTCATACATTTACAATCAAACGTATTGGTATTTTGTTCATATCAACAATGTATTCTTGATTTTAAATTTCCTTTAGCACAGGACTGACATTCTGAGAAATATTTAATTAAAGAAATGTCCATTGAAAAGAAAAAAAAATTGGGAAAAAACCTTGAAACTCCAAAAAGTAATTACTTCAAGGAGGGTAGTTCCTGACCTGCATCTAAACAACTGCGTTCCTGTACACGTACTTACATTTTTGTAAAAGAGGCCAAAAAAAAGATTCGACTGTCTTGTATTTTGGGGATACGACAAACAGTAAAAGCAGAAAAGCTTGAACTTACCAATTGCTGAACTCTCGGTTCCTCTCCATGTTGTTGACGACGTTGACTTTGGCCGGGCTGTTGCGACTGGTCATTGGTCTGTCCTTGGCCATGTGACCTCCACAGTCCGTCACAGACAAGGTGGCCATGCCCACCGCGATGTCAGGCATAGGGGACGCTTTCTGATCAGGTTTGCGACAAGAGTAGAATTAAGAACACTTCTGGTGATGGAGACAACGGCTGGATCTGTATCAATACAGAAAAAAAAACAAGGCGAAGTAAATACTACCGTTCTTTTAAATCTTTGAGTACGGAACTGCCTTAATTAAATATAATTATTGAACAATGCACATGACATTTAAGCCAATATATCGGCTTAATGTCTCTATCAGGTTCGAGTTTGAGTTGATGCATGTTTATCAGCTCACATTACATTAGTGGTTAAAGAGCAGCTCCATTACTTTTTTTAAAAATTAAATTAGATGGCTCGATTTCCTTATTTAAGTTAGGAATTACTTAGTACTACTTAATATTATTCTTTTATTAATTTCAGTCATCTTCAGCTCTTACATGTACCGGTATTCACTGAACTTAATTTGCTAGGAACCTCAACTTCAACAAATACTCCAAAGTGTGCAAGAAACAAATGGCACCTTGCTGAGTCCTGCAAAATCCTGTAATTTTGAAGGAATGGAATGGGATCACGGAAAATGTGCATTGTTTACTGTTCACACAGGAAACAGTGAACAATACGCTGGACCATTGAGCAAGGCATACTGATGACCTTTGTGGACATAACAAAAATATGTATGATAGCATCTTCACTGCTGAACAGTATGGGGGGCAAAACATAGAAAAAACAACAAATATATATGTTTAATTTTCTGGTATGGTTATGAAGGTTCTGCAAATTTACAATTATATTCCTTAAAATTTATGACACGTACATATTCCTATTAATTTGAAAAATAAAGAAGAAATATGATGATTTATATACTGTGCCTGCACACTGCAATATGTACACTACACCTGTCTGTACATGTAAATGATATACAGGAGGAACCTTGAGATTATCAAAAGGAATTTACATGTATAACCTAACGTATCAGCAACAAGACAGCTGTGAACAATTTTCGTTGACATGATTTAAACAAGAAAATTAAATAGTATGTACAATGAAACAATACATGTTGTACATGTTGCACTTTAATTACGATCATGTACATGTATTGCATACAGTGCACACATGCATGTATTGTGCAGTGCGTACAGTTTCTGTATTATTCATTTTCCACTGTACATGGTGTATATCATATACAAAATGTATGCAAGCCATATTAATTCAAATTAATGCAAAGAATAATTCCATAACCTGCAGCTATACAGCACTACCATCTGCTGGCCTCACGCTATCATATGTTTTGGCGCAAATCTTGGCTTATTAGCGGCAATTATTCACAATTATGGTTTGCAGAAGACTGAGACACACGAGGCCGGCCCACTGCTTCCATATGCAGACCTCTGGGCCTCGGGAGAGAACATACACAGCGATGTTCTCTAATTCATCTGTTCATGGTATCTGGTTGACATGATGACTATTTGTGGTCATGCATACAATACATTTTATCATTAAATTAAATAAAACCCGAAAATAGACTCTTCACTGCCGATCTTAACTGAACATGTATACATTAAATGTACTTTTTTAGGCCACAAAAGCTACTAGCAATATGCAAAATTTACACTCATTCATATTAAATGCAGTACATACAGTACATGCATGGTTTATTGTGTATCAAACATAAATATTTACACTGAATGGTCATCATTTAGTTATGAAAGAAATTAATATGAAATAAAAAATACATGAGCACACAGTGGTTATACTGTACCGGTACATACAGGAAAATGAATGTGCCAATTTTGAACAACCCATTAAATGTGTAAACACTCTCATGCATAATGATTAAAGGTTTTTTATGACAAGTGTCAATAATCAGTTCTGACTAAGCACGCAACTGCATGCTTGTGCTTTGTGTTTGTATGAATATTCCATACTACATGTATGCACATCATAGTAATAGTATAAGGGACCAGCTAATGGCATATTGGCCACAGGCAGAATCCACTGCCAGAGGAATCCTCATGTGAATTGTGCTTAATGCAGTCGAGGTATGGCAGTCCCACTGCTATCTGCCTGATGTACATTGTACATTGATGCACATGCTCACTGGTAATCTACATGTACATGTACACATACAATATGCACCTAAATGATGTACATATACGCATCCATGCATGTACATGTTCATTTACACCTACATGTACAATGTACATGTACATGTACATGTACATGCACACATTTATGTACATGTGAATGTACATGTATTTAATGATACACGTACGTATACAATACATTTGGCACCATTTTTGACAAAATCCTTGCAAAGAGGTACCGGTTCATGTACACATACAGGTACAGCCCCTATTGTCCCTAATCCTCATTCCTTTGTTTGTACTCCAACTTTTTAGCATCAGCTCTCATTGGGTTTGTACACAAATTTCAATCGTGGACGTTCGGTCAATCGTGGACATATTGTCTGTGCCCTAACCCTTTTGTCCTAGGTCCACAATTGCCGGGGTGTTTAATTACTAACATTTGCACAATGTAGTTTGGCAACATTCATGAAAGACCTTTTCAGCATATTTCTATCTTACATGTATACTGTGCATGAATTATCATGTTTGTGGCCAAAAATTACCAAATTTTACCAAACTGAAACATTGGTAATGGTAAAATCAAGCATAAAACATTCAGGAATGGCCCGCATAAACGTGTACCGTCGGTACAATCCCTAGAATTTATCGTTTTCAATAATCTTGTCAACTACAATGCCTGCAGGTAGGCCTATACGTTACAATTTGTGCTAAGGTTAAAATAAAACCAATCTGGTCAAATCTTAACAGATTAACACACTAAACAATCCTTCAATCCTCCAGTCAAGCAAAATGCTGAAAATATTGACCCGGGCATTCTATTGCTGTAAGACTCCCAGATTATTCAATCTGAGTGCATTGGCGATTTAGAGACCCTTCCGGTTGAAGGGAAAAAAATATAATACGATGGACATTTAGGAAGAGCGCTAAAAAGTGTGAGGCTGGCGCTTGAACTAGGCAGCGCAGAACGCTCCATGAATACCAATCAACACAGTATCAGACACCGTGGCACCAATGACGGCTAGGCTGGGGCTTTAACACAGCCTTAGCATTAAAGGGGTCCAAAAGTTGTCCATGGGTACAGTAGACACATGCACACACACTGTACATAAATCGTACATGTATACATGTACTGTACATGTAGTACACTGCTATGCTAAGAGTGTACATTTGCACATTGTGAACATGTGTATGTATGTACAATATATCCATCTGAAAATGTCTGAATATACAGTCATCTTCTTTATTATTATTGCTGCATAATGTAACACCCTGAGGTTATGAGCCAAAAGATTTAGACAGAAAATGAAGTAGGCAATATCATGGGTATATTAAAGCTCTAGGCCATACCAAAATTCTTGCTCGATAAATTTTTAATTTTCTAGCAATTTTGTTTTCTTGAGGGGATCAATTTCACTTTGAGATCTATTTTAATTGCATAAACAGCATAGAAAAATGTTGTTTCTACTTTAAAAATATTATCAGAGTGTCAGTCTTTGAACTACTGGTGTATCACGTGTACATATATACATGTAAATGACCTTTACAAAATCAGAAAAAGCTCCCTCAAAAAAAAAATCTCTTGATTTCTACATCATTAAGCTGTGATGACAGCTATTTGCTGAAGTGTCAGTCTGTTGCCATGTCAATGGCTTGATGAATTAATAGCATTTTTCACACTCTACGGACTGACAGCAAAGTCATGAGTGGAAAATACAAAGAAGTGCGCAACATCCGTTTCCTAATGAGCTTTGTGTGTGGAAGCATCTGAGTTCAGTGTGGGGAGGATGAGATTGAAGACGCAGTGATGCAGGCTGGAGATGATCAATGATGCAAGATGCTTCCAACAACCGCTATGGGATGGCACCGGATTTTCCAGATGACTTGCGAACTACACATCAGATGAGGTTTGCACCGATGCTGTCAATAAATGTTCAGTCCATTATGTTGGCTTGTCTCCCTCCCCCCTTCCAATTGAAAAAAAAATTACACAAGGAGAACAATCTCGACAAAGATCTCTGGAATGTTACATGTCAAACCCAATTTTCAATTCAAATTTAGTTGAGCATTATCTTTCTGAAGTTTTAACATGTACATACTTCAGTATGTACAATCAAACGTAAAGCTAAATTCTTGTTGGAGATGAAACCATATGCAAACTTTGAGTGATTATGAAATCATGGTTGGCGTGTTAATTTAAGAATTGTGCAGTGGAATACAAAACATTACACAACCTTCTCTAATAATACATGTACGTGTACAAGAAGGTCCATGCTTCCATGGTGTACATGAACAGCCTACAATGTACATGTACATGTGAAGAATTTTCAATACATCATCGTACCGATTGAGACCTTACAATGCTAAACCAGGAAAATCATAGCAGTTTGCAATTCTCATCAAAACCCCATCGTCTTCTTGTTTCCTTTAATTCCAAAGAAACTGAACCTCCAATTGCCTTTCAGTAAGAACGGAGCCGTTCTTCTGGCGGGCTGGCTGGCCTGTTGTTGCTTCTCCTCAAGGAAGGCTTTATGCGACACTAGAGACGGCCTGGCACCAGTGATACTAATCGTAATGCACCGTGGGGCTTTGCTTGGCCAGCCTGTCTGTGCATGGGTGCGTGTTGTGCCCGCGCAGTCAGCGTCTGCTTTCTGCTTGAGATTAAATATTCTTCCCACTCCCCTAGGGCTAAGGCTCAGGATTGAACCATTATGAAATAAACGAGACCACAATGCCAACGTAAGACGTCTATAAAAAATACCCAACTTGGTGAGTGTACCCGTAATATTAAAAGTTGCAAAATCTTGACACTTAATGTTTTTCAGAGATGTATGCCATTAATTTGAATAGGAATATACCAATAAATACATGCACACATTGAGTTATTGATGAATGATGATTTCCATTTTACAATGTACATGGTACGGTACATGTAATTTGAGGTACATGTACATGTACGGTAAGTGTTCAGTATGTGCACATGTCCATCTACATGTACCTCCTCAATTTTGACTCAAAAAGTCGCATTCAGTCAAATAAATATGTCCTTATTTTTTAACTTGCTTGTTTTATATTATAAAAGGAACCATACTGATCAGCATTTTCTGGAGATACATGTACCGGTATACCCTAATTAAATATGGCTTTAAGTAAAAAAAAAAAAGAATTAAATAAATCGATCCACCGGTACATATACATACATGTACATGTACATACATGTACATGTACATACATGTACAATTTGTACGTATATTCATAAATGCACTGTCGCACACAGAGTGCATGAATATCCCACAAGAACCATTTCCAACTCACAACCCCCCCCCCCCACCCCGACATTTTGCATATGTAGGTTATTTCAACAGACCAGCGAGTGATGAAGATTACAGAGGGGCAAAGATACATTTCATCACACATCCCAGTGCCCACGTACATTGTGTCCTCTCTCTTTCGCTAGCTAATGTAAACCACACCAGAGATGCTGACATATCGGATGACATCTTGGACTTATCTTGCGTGTACCGACTCATCCACGCACGGTCACGCATCTCAATGGTTACTGACTAATTTATGAGATGTTGAGTAAAGACTAAGTAGACTTGTACAAGGCTACTATTTGGCAAATAAGACAATAATTTAGATGTATTATGTACATGTATACATGTACATGTATGAATAGTTGGGTATGGAATGATAGCCACTACTGTACTGCATTGGATATGCACCTCTGGCCCGGATGCTGTTTACAGTTTCCATTGCAGATCTCAACATTTCATAAAATACTGTGCACACTGGTCTTATTCTGAAGCTACCAGTACATGTACATGTATATTTTTTGTACACAAGTTTGCATTTTTTTTAGGCACTTACTATTGGTATAATTTGCACTGTTCATTTTCAACGCACAATTTATACAGTACCACAGTATCTTTAAACATGTACGTACTGTTTTGAATGTCCTACATGTACATCATTCACATGTACTATGTATTTATTTTGTTCTTGAAAAACTGGATGACTATTCAGGTAATTGTGCATTGTAAAAACAATAAACATGTACATGTACAGTAAGTTTTAAAACTATGGGTAATGGCAATATACCCCTTAGGCTTTGCCAGCAGAGCATAAAACATGAAAACACATTGTAATAGTACAATATATGTACAACAATCGAAATGCTTTCTTCTCTTCAGTTGTCTACATACAAATAAATGGATGTTCGTTAATTAGAAAATTCCAAGGTGACTAGGACAAGGACAAACCCACAAGAAACTTCATCACTGCATCACTAGATGCTTTGTCATGAAAGCCAAAAGGTCCTTCTCAATGCCAGAGCAAACTGGACGGAATTTCTCATCAGGCAATGATTAATTTATGAAGTGCAGTGTCAAGAAGAAGAAAAAATGGTCTGGATTTGCGCCAGTCAAGTGCGCTTTCATCGGAATGCTCGTCACATGACACTTCAACGGCCAGCGGTTCTGATCATAATACGGTATGAATCACAATGAGTGAGCCAGCTACTTGGATTGATTTGAATTGCAACGTTTGAAGTGCTCAGTGCGTGTATGAACTTAGGGAAAGCTGTACATAAATTTAGCTGTCACTAGTAATCCTAATCAAATAAACAGGACTGTACCAGTACCTATAATTATTAATAGAGTAGAACATGTAATTTGTTTTCAAATTTCTTTCAAACAAACTAAGTGTTGTAATAATCACATGCATGTATAATGACAAGGATAGAAGTAAAAACCCATAAAGAAACCAAATCTGTCAATGAAAAACACACTGCTATGAATTAGAAACCTACAATCCTCAACACATTAATGATACAACATTGTACCTACTGGTACATGTAACTGTTCACAGCTCAAATTACATGTGCGAAGCGAAAAATGTGCAGCAAATGTACCATCTGCCTCGGGTCAAATACAGATCTGTGATCAACATTCAAATACTATTCAAGATTTGAAATTGACCTTCCTCAGCTCTCTGCTCTTTTTTTTGACAAAGCTATGACAACTAAACTGAAGAAATTGTTGTAAAATTAATTTAACTTGTACATGTATGTATTTAAATGGTCATCATCTATAGGTACTTGTACACGTAGAAGCACAATAACAATCTTGCAAAAGATATATCTGAATTAAAATTCAGAATCTGAATTTTGAAACCACATGCTGTCAAAGTGAAACCACCAGCTCTCCATCACAACTTCAGAAACGTTATCAATCAGAGGACATTTTGAAAAAAATGTAAGTAAATTTACGATATCTGGAAATATCGACAAAAAAGTAGGTGTATTTACCTCAGTCTATAAACACCAGCTTGCCGTCTGAAGTTGTGATGTTAAATACTCAGCCACATGTACATGTACATGTATGTACATGTACGTTAACACCATGCATCTGCGCTGTAGAACATGAACTGACTTGTCCACCCACCTTTTCAAACAACAATCAACCTCCAACTTCATTTTAGGAGTAAGTACATGGGTCCTAGCTCTATGGTACATGTCTACACATGTACAGGTACAATATGTGGCTCACTGGTTTTAATCTTTGCCTTTTATTATATTCAATGGAGAGATGTGTTGAAGAAGACACAATGCAGGTAGATGGGGAACCAGTTGGTGCTTATGATGACATCATCTCTCAGTATTGGTAAAACCATGTACATGTCTCTGTACCAGGCAGTGACTCTCCAGGAGCGTTTTGGGCTGATAGTTTTCCGGGGGGGGGGGGGATAAAATATATCTTGATTACTATACATGCACTGATCTATTGATAACATCATAAAACGTGGTTCACAAAAACATGGGTGGTCTACAACTGTGCATGTTTACAAGTCCGAGTGTAAATCACCAAACACTGGTTGTCGTCTATGAAAAGACCAGCTTCAATTCGATCTCAGGAAGGAGCCTGCTGCTCTTGCCATTGTGTGGTTTGATCCAGATTAAACAACCCATCAGATGTCAGGAAAAAGTTCCTCTATCAACTGCCAAACAAATCGGAATACCTTTGTTGTTCCATCAATACAAACTGAACCTTATTTAAATGAACTATACCCGAGGGCCTTCTGATAACAAAAGCTCTGAAAGGCTCAGAAAAAAACAGGCTCCATCAATCAATGGGATAATAATTATGGAGTTAGTGACCTGAATTTGGTGCCACCTTAGAGAAACTTGACCACACAATAGGCCATGACATCATGCTGATGAGGTAATACAGGTTATTCCCCATTCCTTTGTATTCAGTGTTTTGTACACAAAACCTACTGTTTAGTTCACCGTCCTGTTACTATTTTGGTTGCAAGTGGAGTGGTTATTAGTATAGTCCATACCCTAGCTGTTCCTCAATAATGTTGACAAGTTAAGGGGGAGTTGGTGCAGATTAATGGCCCAATCAAAAGTCAACCACAAGAGTAATTGACAGGACAATGGAAGTGATAGGAAAAAACAGGACGTTCAGTTGTTTTGAAGGAAGCCAAGTAGCGGATGTCCTTTGGGACAACAGGTTTCACAACTTGTTTTTGTAGGGCACTCATATGGTTAATATATTTCAATTAACTTTGTGGTTTTTGTGATTCAAGTGACTGCTTCGCATTCCACACTCAGAATGAACTCTTCGTTGTGTAAAAATATGGAACTTCTGCTAATCACTAAGTTAAACTTGTTTGCGTCCTTTTACATTCTGAGTGCTGCGGTCTGCATAAAACATGTAGTCGGAGTATCTGTTTCCATTTTCGAACACACCAAATATTCAAGGCTTTTCACTGATGACAACAAAAAAGTTATACAGTCCCCCATTTGAACATGTCATTCTTTGGAAATACATGGTTACTCGCATAACATTAAGGGGACATGCCAAAAATTGTCTTTATTTTAATTCAGTAGTTTCCTCAGATCACAAGTGTAATATAACCAACTGAATATGTTTACAAGATATCACATGGACACTAAAAATGAAGACTAAATTCAGGTTCATGTATACGATGCTAAAAAGGATAACATTTACTAGCATTACAGTTGTTCTCTGCCTTAAAAACAAAAACTCACAATAACACATTTTACACATAAAAACAAACTACTTCAAATCCATAATTTCAGCCCCCAAAACAACAACAACAACAACACAATGAACCATATTCCACCTCACTGGCACACCATTAAAATGAAAGGTCTTGTTGCCTCATTTCATTTAATACCCCCATTTGAGGTTATGATGCTTGCAATTCAAAAGAAGATTTAATTAATTGTCAACTTTTCAGCCATGTCCACGTTTGCTTGGAATTGCCATGTGCATTGTGCATACATGTACTCCATCAGTTTCGCCTTTTCTTTACGGACATTTGCTGGGATAACGTGCAAAAGAAAAAAGTCCCACTCCCATTCACCACCCCACCCAGATCAAAATCAATAGCAATTTCATATCAATGAGAGCAGGTGTCAACATTGCCATGGCGACCAAAGTAAAATCATTGAAGCGCACACCACACTGATGGCATGCAGCGTTAATGGTTCAGGGTGCTGGGTTGCAATCTATGGTTGTATCCTGGCATGTGTCGAATTTGTCATGATTGGTGGTCTAATGGCCTAGAATGAACATAATACAAGTATGTTTATGAATAATTACAACATGTACGCCTATGAATCTATGAGATTGAAGTTATGGACTTAGCCAAATGTACTGGTAGCAATGTATTATGTATCGTATATTGGACAAGAAGAAAATTTAACCATTAAATAAACAAAATTTAGAGCAGGTCTGAGAATGCAGCTGTGACAGTGTACCAGCATATCACAATGTGGCACAAAAAATATCTTAAGATGACAATACTCAGCTCTGATATTTAAGTAGTAACCTGTTTTATCGCATACACTAAATGAAAAAAAAATAATGCTGTTTTGGTAAATTTGTATACCGGTACATGTTGGTTAATTGAAGCTAAAACAATTTATAAAGAACAGTGTGCAAAGTTCTGTGCATTTATAAGCATGTATGCACAATATACCTTATCAAATTAATTCCATACTTGTGTACATGCAACCTTGCACAACAGATGTACTGTAGTGATTTATAGAGAACAAATATAAGACTTCAAGCTTTGTCAGGGGACTTTACCCACACTTATCAGGTAAGGTAAAACTACTCACACTTCTTGACCACAAGTTAGCTGCCGGTTGCCCTGTCACTAGGTGACCCGATAAATATTTGTAGGGTTGTGGTATAAAGCACATGTATATAACCTTCATATGCATACAATGGGTCAATCATGCATAATATGCAGTATGAACACACTAAACTCATAAAAAAATATCAAGCTCTCCTTCAACCCTCAAAAGCTAAGCTCTGGACTGATGTTCAAGTGATGAATATTCAGTATGCACACAAATCCTGGCAACCAATCAGTCATCTAGCTCAGTGTTGGGTACATTTGCCTGTTCCAAAGCCAAGGGAATTGGTAATGAATATTCTATAACCTGGTCGTGATTCCTCCAATCCAATTTGGTCGATTACCATGTTTATTACCATACTGGAGCCAGAGTCTGCTGCCTCAAGGTATTTGTGGAACAAATGGAGCAAAGGAATTGGCAGAGATTCACAACAATGGAAGAGCGTTTTTATTGGGGCGGAATACTAGGCTTTGATCTGAAATGTATACATGTACTTGGCCTCAAGCAAAGTAAAACAGCATTGAAAGCTGCCTTTACCACAATGCCACAGTTGCATAAATTGTGAACATTATCCTATGATGAATTTCTCAACAAAGTCTAATCAAGAATGCAAGAAAAATGCAAATAGCCAATCAATTTCACATTAAACTAGAGCTAAATCAAAACAAAAAATACTCATAAAATGCTGTCATTTAATACCTTAGTAGTTATTAAAATGGTAGTTTCAGAAAATTACAAACTACATTGTCTGTATGCAAAATGTATACATTATATACAGAGGACATCAATTGCTAGGGTAGTATGGATTGATCCATCAGGCCCCGCCCACTGCACACATAGCGCATGTGTCGTACTTGTACATGTACATGTACACCCATGTTGGACATTTGTACACACATGTGGGATGTTAATCACAGCTGTGATTGGTCAAGACATCATGAGGTGGGGCTATTTCCCTCTCAAGAAAAAAAATATCCCTCAATATTCCCTCAAGAAAAAAATATTGGCTCGCACAGGTCAACTTTCTTCTTTCCCTAGTACTGCAAGCAAACGCTGGTTTGCCCACTGTTTAATCTTCATCAATAAACCTGCTTTTTTCCCTACACCTAGTCGTGTTGCGTCTTGAAAAACATCTGACATGTACCCTGAGAATCTAGCTGCAGCTTCAAATGTCAATAATAGGTCACTGTTTGAAAGCATCCATCCCCATGCCAGTTCAATTTCAAGTTAGTCAAAGTTCAGTAAACCAACCTCGTTTTGTTTTTTTAATACTGCACTACAGAAACATGTACGCACTTGGATTGATGATGAAATCAAGTGCATATCAAGTTTTAGATTACAATTCCTCCTGCTGATGCAGTCAATAGTCAACATAATGGATTGCACATCATGAAAAGACAGTCAGGAAGCATCTAGCTATCAGCCAGAGCATATTGGTTTGAGAACCTCTTTAATCTCACTAGTTCTTCTGACGATTGTATGATTTCGAAAGCGAGTTCCACCACATCTGGATAAGAGATTGCCTTGTAAGCTCAAGCCAAATGATACATACATGTACCGGTACATGCATAGTTGTAAATATCACATTATTATAATGACAGTTCATCAAAAGAGGCTTCACTCGACCTACATGTACGTGTGTTTGGCATGTACATTTATTTCAAAAACCTCTTTGCATTATGCACATGTGATAGTACATGGACATATGTACATTGTACATATACATGATGTATGTACATGTATAAAAATGTACAAATGTACTACATGTGCTTAAGGAAAACAGTGCAATGAAATAGCCATGAGATGACCTACACGCTCTTTGCCAGTGTCCTGAACCAGAGAGGTCAAATGGTGGACAATCTGACTCCACCTGAGCTCACATCGTATCCACGGAGACACTCAGCCTAGAAAGAATGACGCTCCTCGGATCGCTTGATTTATTTACTTGCTACATATGCCCCCCTTCTCTCTCCCCCCCCCCCCCTCCACACACCCGGACTCCGTTCAATTTCTTCTGCCGGGGGCAAAGCAGCACTTGTGTGTTATTTCAGATTATTCACTGTGAGTGTGCTGGAAGTGGAATGTGTTAGATGTGAAGAAGCAATTTTGACTGGACATGATTTGAAGATCTTGAAATTAAATTTGAAATTAGTTTTAATTTTGCTGAAAAAGCCGAGTTTACACTTTGAAGGGTACATTTTCATCGTGGTAAAAAAAGGTTGAATACACTATACAACGTAAATATATTTCCCTTAACCAGTATGTATCAATTCAGCAAGTAATTGGTCAAGAGTGACCAGTACTGAGTAGTTAAAAATGTGCCATGTTTTTCATACATGCTACACCTTGTCTCGCACTGTTTCATGCAGTGCTGTAA